CGTCTTGCTGCTCTGCAAGCTGGCGCTGCGCGCTGGCAAGGTTCGGAGCCTCCTCACCATCCTTGTCCTCCTGCGCCTTCAGCTCCGCGTGCAGCCTTGGCAGTTCAGGGTGGTCGGGCTCATAGAGAGCCCACCCTTTGCCAGGTGTGTGGAACCACGTGCCAGCACTGTTGTACCTCACCATCATAATCTTCGTCGGGTGCTTCTTCTCCATATCGCACCGCAAGTAGCGCCAGTCCTTCTCAGTCTCCAACATGACCAACTCAAGCTCCTTCTCGAAGCTCGGGCTGTGGCGAAGGGTGGCTCCACGCTTAAGAGTGGGGCAGTCCTGAGGGCAGTAGCACGTTCCCTATAAGATCTGTGTGTTCCAAGGGCTTGATGCGCTTGCTTTTGCCTGCAACAAACTTACAAGATACACGATGCAAATTCTTTTTGCGCTAGTACCCTGAAAGATGTCCTTGAAGAGCGGCACAGGGGGCACATTCTTCACAGATTTCTCTGAGTCCTGTCGCGATGTAGCGTGGTAAGGCAAGCCCGTATAAGTTGTCTTACACTTGCCTTGCCTCGGTGTGGCACCCAATGGCCAATTGATCTTCCCCCTTGGTTTCGGACGCCCCCCAGAATCAAAGCTTGAACCGGGTAGAAAACGCAAGCTGCAACCTGCCAGGCTCCATGCGATGACCGCGAGGACTTGTGTTGCTGGCGAGGGTGCTGGGGCGGGCAACGCGTCTTGGCAATCCTTGGGGGTGTTTCAATCATGTGTTTAACACATGTTTCCTAGCGCTGGTCCCATCGTTAAATATCCGAGGAAAGATTTTGCTATCCGTTGAAACCTGTATGGGGCCCCTTTCTCCAGCAGCGCCTGATGTAAGGCAACATTTAAGAAAAGGGGACCACACCGATGAAAAGAGTTGACACAACTATCTGAAAAGGAGGAGATATGGCAACCTATTGTGGGTTTTCCCAAACGGTCATTGTCTCTACACAGCTGTTGGTTCAACAAAATATTGACAGACGCCGTGAAAGATGGCACGCCTTAGCCGTGTAGGAAATTGCGTGTCTTACAACCCTTTCGAAGCCTCGGCTGCTGGCCACGTTGCGGTGATAAGTTCCGGATCGGGCTTCTCAAGTGCGATGTTGAGGTCGGCATCCTGGCGGAATCATGCGCGGGTCATGTTAAGCCACAAAACACAAACCATGTTTTTTAGTTACTAGCTGCCTCCATCGGCTGTGTGTCGGCCATATCCATGCCGAACTGCACGTTCCGCAGGCTTGAGGCGACGTTCTTCCGGCTCCGTTTGCAAAGGTGCAATATGACTGGGGCCTGCGTTTCGATCCACTGCTGGGTAGTTTGTCCTGGTATCCGTGGTATTTGGATTTCATACTTTGTGAGGAGCAACTTGATGGCCTTTTTTACAGCGAGCGCTGTAAAGTACCTTGAAGCTGTCACTTGTCTGGCCCATTGAAAGGCTTTGCGTGTCTCAAGGCTTTTCAACGAAGTGCCAGGAGAGATAGCGCCAGTCCTAGACACACGGGTTCCCTCATCAGGGCAAACGCAGCTTCGGTGCAGTTGCTCAGCAATCCAACACGCCTTCTCCATGAGTCGAGCCGGGCGGGCGCTGCGCAGGATGGCGTGCCGAACGACATCAAATCGACCGATTTTGCGCAATGGAGAAACTGAGCAGGGTGCATCGGACTTTTGAGAGTTTCTGGGTGTAGAAAACATAGCGTTTGAAGGCAGGTCCAATTGGAACCCCAAACGGGGGAGCCTTTCAAACAAACACACCCCTTTTTTAATTGGAACATGGGGATCCCAACGCACCAGCAATGATAACCCCTTTGACTTTTTGCTGCTCTATTCGACCTCCGCTCGAAAAAAAAGGAATGCGACATTCCCGTCGAAACAAAATGTGTGAAAGGTTGCGTGTGCAACCGTTGCGGGATTGGCCCTCAGGACCTTGATATATGGAACCCTGTACCAATATACCCCCCCTTTGTCAAAAACAAATCACACGAAACGTTGCCCGAACAGATCCTGGCAATGGCAAGGACCCATATATCGTAAAGAGCCTGAAGTGTCATGATGATCCCTTGAAGTGTCTTGTGAAGAACTTGGCCAGTGGCCATCGACAACTGATACAGAGCCGGTGCCAGTATACAGCCTGTGCCATACAGCCGGTGCCACTATACAGCCGGTGCCACATATAGAGCCGGTCAGCCCTCGCTGGTAATCATGCCGCCACCCTTGAACTTCCATGCGCAGTGCCCCTTGGCGTGCAACTTGCCCGCGCTCACCAACACCTTGCGCACGTCCGTGGCATTGCCGTCCTTTTCACACCACCAACGTCATAGCCAACCACTCCGACCGGCCCGTAGTTCCGGATCAACTCCCCGCTCGCCGTCTTGAATGAGTTGGACTTCTCCTGCGGGTTCTCGTGATATTTCTTGGGCACGGCCGTGATCGAAGCGCCAGTATCGAAGTTGCACTTCAACCATGTCCCACTTCCGGCTGGTGCCGCTTGGGCCCTCATCCTTCCCGCAAACGACCCAGCCTTCTTCTTCTTGTCCGTCTTTGGGCTTGCATTGGATGATGCTCCTCCTCCAGCAGCCCAGCAATCTTTCTTCCGGTGTCCAGGCTTCCCGCATTTGTGGCAGCTACCCTCAAACTTCTTCGGAGAGCCTTTGCCTGCGCCAGGGGACTTCACCTTTTCCACCTCCGGTAGTAGGTTTCGTCCAGCAATTTCTTTCCGCCTGTGGCCCTTCTTCCCGCAGTTGTCACACGTCCCCTCAACCTCCTCCTTTGCCACCCTTGCCCTTGCCCTTCACCCAGGACGCAAGGTTGCAAGACACCGCCTTCACCAGCGAATCCACATCCATGGGAACCGCATCACCTCCACTGGTGTTGTTGTTGAAGTTGCTGCTCACCGCCATCTTGCTCCCCCGGTCTTTGCCTCCATGAAGGTCACCACCTCTGCTTCCATCTCCTCAAAGTTCTTGAACCTGGAGAAGTTCAGCAGAAGGTGCATCTACATCTCCAATTCTTGTAAGGCATTCATAGCCAGCAAGTCTGGCAAGTCCTCGCGGCGCCCGAATTGGTCCTTCTTCTTGCTATAGCGGCCCCTCAAGGCCTTCCATCTTTCCAAGGCAGCTCCCAGCGTCTCATAGCTGGATCTCTCCAAACTCGTCAATGCTTGAAGCATGATGCGCTTGCGCCCGCCCGTTGCGGGTCGTACTTCTTGTGGAGCAACCTCCACGCTTCCAGCCCAGCCCCCATGGGCGCGTTCCCGATGATGGCGAAGGCCACCCCCTCCATCGTTGACCTCAGGACGGTGTAGAGCTGGTGATCAAATTCCGTGACCTCGTCCCATTGCTCTGTGAGGTCTGCTGCCAAACCAAATGCACCGTCCACCTCGGTCTCCGTGATGGCCATCTCACTTCCGGCTGCCCATTCCAATACCTCTCGCGCCTTCCCTCCAAAGACGCCCGCTCGAGCTTCACCGCCAGACCCGGAACTTCGCCTCCGCGTCTTCTCCCAAGATCTGGGGCTTACCAAGCCCTTTCTGGTCGATCAGCCCGCGACCACCTCTACTCATCTTCTCCAACGCGCAGCTTCTGCAACGCTGCGATCACCTCCATGGGTCCGGCGCTCCCTGTGCCCCGTCGGGCCATGCTCAGGTGCCTGCATCCGGTCCCGCAGCTGCTGGTTCTCCGCCTGCACCACCTGCAGTTGCTGCTGCACCTGCCTGAGGCCATTCACGATCTGCTCCATCTCCGTCATCTAGGACCAACCCAATCACCACGTGGTGACCGTCCACCACGTAGACTGCCAAAGCCGCGAGGGCGGCCAACCACCTCCAGCAGCGCCAGCTCCTCTTGGCTCTGGCCCCCAGTCTCACCTCCGCCTTCTCTGCCACCGGGCCCCTCTCAGCAGCTGGGCCTCTTTGTGGCTCGCCCCAAGGTGTCCTCCTCCTCTCCTTCGTGCCGTAGGAGATCACCGGGGCCTTCTTGTTCGCCCGGCTGGAGTTGTTCTTCACCAGGGGCTCCGCTACCATCCAGACATGGCCTATAGCAGCGGATTCTATTTTGCCCTGAATGGCTGCGCAAAGTCGCACAGATCTGCAAACAATGTTCAACAGGTGTCCCCCATTTTGGTTAAAAAAAAGAGAAAAAAGCACCGAGCTGTTTCACATGCCAATTGTGCCACAGGATAGCCTCTTCAGAACACGACGTCAATATTTGTGTTTAAGAAAACTCCCCCAAGATTGAAAATAAAGCAAGGTACCAGTACCCAAGGGTGTTCCTGGATTGTAACCCACTTAAATGTGGGATTAACCTGGTTAGGGGGTGAAAAGCCAAGTGGCCAACCACTTCCTAACTTGGCGACGAACATCCAAGTAGGGAATGAGTCGTAGTAGGAAGATAAAAGGGGGTGTCCCGATAAATTCAAGCCTGGATCAAGCCATAAGCCCACCGATGTGTTGAACCCCCTCTCCGACAATCATGAACGTAGACAGTGGGGAAGCCCAAAACGAAACTAGTCTTCCAACACCCTCTTGTCAGCTTCCATGATTCCATGATTGTTGGAGGGGCACATCCTAAAACTGAACTCCAAATGGTTTGAAGGAAACAACCCGAAGAGTATCTTGAAAGCTCCTAAAAACGCCTTGCCACTTTGATGGACGCAGTTACATACTTGGCCAATCGAAACCGGGGTACACAGGAAACATGATTCTTGACTCTTCCACATTTAGCCTACCTTTTCTAACGGCTTCCCTTTTTTGGGGTTGGCTTTAAAGGGAAGCTAAAGGGAAAAACATGATTTTTTGAGGGTCCCCTCAACTGGGCTGCCCTCAGATTTCCCGCTAAAAGTTTAACTCTTGGTGGTTAAATGGAGACTACCACTAAACATGCCTGGGAGCCACCACGTAAAAAACAAAACAAAAACGCGGCAACCGACTCCAAAAGCGGATCCCGCGTCAACAAGCTTTCAGCCGCGAAGCCCTGGGTACAGGACTGGCCCCGCAGCACGCTGGTGGAGGCCACCCGACACAAGGGGCAGGGCATGTGGCGCTTCAACATCTCCGTGGAGCACCTGGAACTTCCATTTGCTGAAGTCCCCTGGACAAACATGTATATATATATATACATATTTCCACTGGCGATAAAAAATGCAAGGGAATACTCAGGATTTGGATGGTTTGGATGGTTTGGATGGTTTGGATGCTTTGGATTGGTGGAGGTTTGGGGGTGCTTTGGTTTTCAAGACCGCCTAATCTAGGCCCACCTGAGATTATATCGTGGCTTGGAGGGGGGTGGGTATCCTTCTGTCCCAAAAAAACAAGGTGAAAATGGTACCCTCCAAAACACACACCGAAATGGGTGGTCAAGCTTCCCCTAGTTAGGTTAGCATTGCATTGGTGGTTTGGAGGTTGGGTTTCCCACCACCCTTTTTGAGGCTCACCTAAGAATGCTAACACCTCTCAGCTTCCCTCTACCCTCCAAAAGGGTCCCGGAGGTTTTGATCCAATCTGGACACAAAACACAAAGTAAGGGGCGCCTGCGCGTGGCATGGGTGGACAACACATATGTCGTGCCTGAACCCAGCCACCAACTGGTGCCGGATCTTCTTCATCCACAGCGTCCCCCCCCGGCTGGGACGCAGGAGCAACCATGTGTCAATATGTGATACCTGCGGTCTCAAATACCCTGGCCCTCAACCCAGCTAGCTGATGGAGCAAGGAGCTGGGGACCAAAGAAAGTCATATGAGACTGCTTACAAAGCAAAACGCGTGAGTCACAATCAAAGCCCGATTATGTACATAGAGGGTAAGGGACGGCGACAAATAGGTCGGTTCGGCCGCCCTTTTGGCTATTTACATATGTTTGGGTAGGCCACTTTGATACGAGGCTTTGATTGTGACTGTCGCAGAGTTAAGAGCCTTCGTACATGCTTGCTTTTGTGTCCACAAGAGGAACATGCATGGGCACATGTCGTTGATTGGGGCGTACCGGCGCACCCCCCCTTTCCAGAGACTGCGGGGGTTGGGATCCTCGAATCCATGGCCAGTATGCTCATTCTTGCTCATGATTGGCCATTCAAGCTTGTTGTCTTAGTTGACGAATCCAAGAAACCTTCTCCAGGAAACTCTCCGGGAAACAGGTCAACTACCCCACAAACACCAGAGCTTCAGGCTAACTTCCCCCCAAAGACTCGGCCCCAAGAAATGGTGGGCGGTGCGGTGAAACAGACATGGCTTGCCTCCGCAAAGATCCAACAGCTAGGCCTTCCCTTTTAAAATCGGACCCCCAGTGAACATCCCAATCCAACCACTAAAATTGGTTCCAACATGGGTGGTGAATTCACCTACCCCAAAATGGGATCCCATTGGTTTTGACAACCACAGCCATATCCATAGCAGGAAATCCAGTGACTTCACTGAGGGCCCCAAGCCCTGTGTGACCTGTGGCCCGGTTTCACCGTGGTGCATGGAGTTCAGCCCATAAAAAACCACGCGGAGGCGAGGGGCGGACCAATCAAACTGGTTCCTCGGTGTCGCCAGGTCATACAAGGGCACTGTATTGGCAACCGGTCAAGCTAGTGAATGCTAGTGGATATGGAACAATTGCTCAGTTGCAAGTGCTTTCAAAATAAGAATGCTTGTTCCGAGCGGCTGAAACAGACCTTTTGGCACACATGGGAAAAGAGGAAATGGGCAGCAAATGAACCTCAGGCATTCCTTGGGAGGGACTCTGCCTTATAAAGGGGATGGGGGATGGACCCCGTTTAAGTGGATGAAATTGGATGAAGCTACAACTATGGCGACTGTTGGTTTAAAACCCGGGAAATGTCCCTGATGCAAGTAATTAGTGTTCCCTGATGTACTTAGCCCAACATGTTTGCAGTATAACTGCATAACAGTTTGAGTCGCTGGCTCAATCCCCAAACCCTGGCCCAATCGGATCGAGTCGCTTGCTGCAGAAGATGTGATGGCAGCCCAGCCAGAGATCGAACTCCGTGCGCGTGTCATCCTGGCAGATCCAGCACCTCAGATCAAGTTCGGGCGCAAATTTCAGCCGCTGCCAAATGCGCGTGTCCAAAAAAAGGGGGGAAATGGCAGTTGTCCTTTTTGGTTTCCAATCGAAAGCCAACCAAAAGGGGGTTCCCCAAATGGATCTGGAAAAATGCCAGGAGCCCCCCCCCCCCCGAAACAAATGAGCCTGTTATAAAAAAGCATCCTATTTGGGTTGGTTTGAAGAACACACGAGAAAGATCTCATCCGAATGGACCAAGCAATCTAAAATGGAGGCTGGGGTCTGTCTGCGTGTTTGTTAAATCAAACGTTTCAGGTTCAAGCTTGCATCTGGTTTCTGCCATGTAAAACAAAGCACATATCACCTTGCGCCAGGCCTTGGGCCTTGCAAAGAACAGAAAGGCATGCAAACAAGGACAATAGAAACAGAAACGGCTTAACCATTTCAACCAGAAACGGCTTCTTGTCCAAGTCGGTGCGGCCGGGCTGCTGGTTCTTGGCGTAGTCATTGTAGGAGGATTCGACCTGTCCGGTACGAGGTGGATCGGCAAACTGGAGTTGGGGATCTGGATCGGTACCCTTTCGGCACTCTAAAAGCATATGCCCGCCCCAACAACCTCCCCCCCGTCAAACATCACTGTCGTCTGAAAACTGGACAAATAAATGTTCAATAAGGGACCTTCTGGTGGGGATTCGTGTCTACCAACCTGGTTCCAACTCCTCAAGTTCATGTGGCCATATGAGAATGTCTCAAAATAGAGGCTGCCCTTTTGGTTAAAGTCTTCTGTCAAAACCAAAGCGAGCCCGGAGAAAAAACGGGCCCCCGATTTTGAGACACACTCCAATGTTTTTTGTTTTTTACGCAGTTGGTACCCCTTAAAGGAAAGCCCACAGGACAGCCAGCCAAACATCACACGCCTGAAGCTCGCCCGCCTGTCAACCGGCAGAAGTGGTCCAATGATTCTTCAAATCTGTCCAAAATCTCACTTCAGATCGAGTGGACTGGGGCCAACAAAAAGTCTAAACTTGTGGTTTGCCAGAAACATGGTACAAACCCAAAAGTGTGACAAATTAAAGCCCATGAAGTCAGGGAGGGCCCCCAGGTGTGTGGCTTCTTTTTGGCTTAAAAAAAGAACAGCCCAAACGCTTTTGGCGTTCCCAGTTTGCACCCAATTGGAAATGCAAACTCCAGATGCAAACTCTACTCAGTTGCCCTTTGGGGACCCAAACATGAAAGATTATCAGCTTTTGGGGGCCCTGGCCAAAAATTGACCAATGACCAAACTAGGCTCGGGTTTGAGTCTAGGTCATTCCTCGTATGCAGCCAAGAGGCACAAGAGTCGCCCACCTTGTCGAATGGCCTCAGCTGCTATTCGGCAGCACTCCCCAACGGTCCAATGAGAGGAAGGGGTCAACGTAACGGCCGTGCAAGGTACTCAACCCATGCGGAAGTGCATGTGGGTGTGTTTGTTGAGGGCCCGTTTTCGTTCTTTCTTTTTCAGGGAAGCGGAAGAGACAACCAATTTCGGGGGCTCCCCAAAAAAAAGACCAGCCACCCACTTCGCCTTTCCAAAAGAGAAGTGTGCCCTTTGCTTGGGAGGCTACCACGGGTCTCGAAACGAGCGTCCCTGAAAGTCAATATGGTTTTGTCTCCAAATATGGGTACCGAAAAAAAGTGCTTTTCTTTACGGTTCCCTTTGAAACCAGCTCCAACGGGAGGTTCGCCTATAGAAATGTCAAAAGACTGTTTCTTGGATTTGCGGAAGTGATAAAAGAAAAGCGAGCCAAGTTCGATGCAAAGTCTGGCAACTGGGAACTCATGAGTAACAAAGACAGCTACCCGAATATATTTAGAGGACACGTCCTTTTGCGTGAAAGGATTCCCTTCCTGCTGTCAACTTGCAGGGGGGGAGCAACATTATGTCCTTGAACCCCTCTTGCGTCTCTTCCTACACCTTTCTGCGATAGCATCTGGGATACTCTCAAGTGGGATACTTAGCAACAACAGCCAACAGCCAACAGCCAACAGCCATGTCCGGGTTCCATGTTACCCTCTTTCCAATCAGAAGCCTTCCGGCTGGAAGAAGAGTTCTTAGCGGCCCTTCGATCGTCAGCTTCGGGAGGGCAAACGATCCGCAAATTGCTGCAATCTGAATAATGAAATATAGGGAAACACCGAAACAGGGACCCCACTCAAAAAAGACAACCCCGTCTTCCCCTTAAATGCCCCTGCAAACTAGCTGGGTTGTAGTTGGCATGGATACCCCATCCCATAAGAACGACTATAGATATGTGTCAACATGCAAGCTCATATGGTCTGTGTGTGTGTGTGGAGCGTCAGAATTACCCCGACACCAACAAGGGACTGTACGTGCAGGGCAACGACCCGTCTTCGTACGTTGCCCAACGAAGCTATGCAAGAAGGGTGGAAGGGTGTCCAGACGTGGATACCTGTACCTGCAATGTTCTTCAAGGTCTATTTGGTCCCCTCCGTAAATCGCTGTTGCTTCTCGTTTTCCGTTTTCAAGTCAGTAGAGGGAAGCCATCGGTCTCGCCACTCGAAACTTACCACCTCGAAACTTAATCAGTATATCTCACACCAACTCGGCTTGCGAGTTTAAGTGTGTCTGTTTTTGAAGGTGCCTTTTTGCAGGAGGAACACCACAGGACATTCGAAGCCGCTTGGTCCGGAGTTTACCACCACAATGGTCCAAACCCAAAAAGTGACTAAAGTCCATGAACTCTTTAAAGAAGTTACATGAGTGAGGAAAAAAGATGAGTTAGATCCCGACTTTTTCTAAAGGCCGAAGCACCGGTTGATGAGGATGGCGTGGCTGTTGCGACCCAAGGGCATCACCGGGCGCAGCTCGCCGTCCTCTCCAATCACTTCGTTTTTGGAGAGTCCATATGAGCCAATCAAAACGCGAGCGAACCGCCCAGAACCCACACCCACACCCACACACCCAAGATTGGGCCCCACGCCATGATTCGACCCCCCAAACTTGGGCTTTTGATGGTGAGTGTCATTATGTTTTCACTTTACCATCAAACGCGGGGGTCGATGAATTAGCAAAAGGAGGCTTGGGAGAAGAACATCGCAGCGAGCATCATCTTTGAGCATGTGGCTTGAACCGATTGTTGTGCCTCTTTCTGTGATGGCGAGGAAACTTATTCAAGCCGACACGATAGAATGGACATGTCCCATATCATCGCTTTCGCAGAAAGAAGGGTGAGTTTGCCAATTTGTGGAAAGCTTAGTTTAGGATCCAATCCCCCACTAGTATGTGTCTCGTCTTCTCTCGTTTTCGGCAACACAAATCCCAGCAAAGCTGTGCCTTCGCTTTACATTCGAGGGCCAAATCAACTCATGTTCGCCAAAAACATTAATGCATCCCTGGGGCCTGGTGCGGATTCTGCCCTTTGTATGTTTGACAACCTATTTGGGTATGTGTGTGTGTGTTTCCTTTTTCAGGCTACCATGCTCACCTTAGTGTAAAGGGAAACCAAGAGGAAGCCCACCATTATCCTTCCCTCAAAAAGGGAAACCAAAAGGGACCTACTGACCTACCCCTTTTTGGGTTGCTTAAACAAAGGGACACCAACATGAGACCCAGGCAGAAGAAAAACCGCAACCCCCAAATCACCGGTGTCCTTTTCGGGCTTTCGAAATCGAGGGGTTCCACTGCGTTAGGGTTTTCCTTCTCCCAAAAGGACTCCGATGGCCCAACATCCCAAGAGTTCGGGTAGTCCTCCCAGCCATAAAGGACATCCCGTGCGGATATCTGGAACGGCCATGTGATTTGCCAAGGCTAGAATCGTACTTGGAACGGCAAAAGGTGATCTAGATGTGAGTCAAGCTAGTGAACTTTGCAAGTGCTTGGTTTCACGTTGATTCCCTTCCAACAGGCGGCCCCCCAAAAGGTATCAGCATAGAACTTCAGAATTTGAGCATATACTTGACGGGCTTGATTAACAAAGAGAAAGTCAAGGACAACAGCACAAACCTCAAAGGTGATTTCCCCGCCCCCCCCCAACCTCACCCAACCACCCCCCTCAAACATCTCAGCAAGCCTCACCAAGTGTTGCTGAGCGCTGCCGAGCAATGCTTTGGCATGCTTAACCAAAAACAGCTTGGCCATAGAACCAGCAAATGTACCAGGGAAATTGGCAAAGTACCAGATGTGTCATGTAGAGTTTTCATCTTTTGCTGGTTTCATGGGGTAAAAACCCATATGCAAACCCCAATGGCCGTTTAATCGCCCAGCTCCTGCACCAAGCTCATCTGGGCTCTCCCCACTTCCGCCTCCTCCGGACCTTCGAAATTCTTTGGTTGGGGTGTTCGGGAGGCTCCGAAGATTTCTTGGCTTCTGTTTTCAACCAAACTGGGGTCCGTCATGGTGCGAAACCGCCAGGTTGGGGGCGGTTTCCCTTCCAAACCACCATTTGGCGGGTGATTTGAGGATGTCACCTTATCCACGGGAACCATCCTAGTTTTGTATATGGCATCCGCTGCGATTGTTCCTACTGCAAACCCCTAGAAGGTTGCCAAGCCTCAACAAACCGTAAGACCCACATCTACATCTAGGCCAATGGGTCTCTTGAAAATCTGGTGGGGGTGGTTGGTGGAAGGGGATTTGCACTGCAAATTCTGTCCGCACGTATTAGGGGTCCGGGAAAATGGCAGAGCTGGGCAGTAGCACGAGCGAGAGCCCTATGACGAATCCCTCACTTTGGGGTTCCTTGAATTCAGGTTGGTGAAAAATGGGAGGGTCTGGCAAAATATCTAAACTTGCCGTCCATACCCTTGCGGCGTGCTTCGAAAGGCAATCAAGGTTGCTTTGCACTCAGCAAAGTGACGCTCTCAAAGTGACCCTCTCAAGTGTGACCGTAGCATCCACCCCTGAACCCACACAAACCCAAACTAGCTTCACACATGCGCCCACCAAACGCCCTGCTCTCCCTGCTTGAAGAATGTTATTGGGGAGCCAATCGCGCTGCAAATTGTAAAAGTGTTTAAGCAACCAAAACCCCCCCAAAGCCGTGAAAAGGACACCTCGAGTCATTGCGGCTCCGACTCAAAAGGGCTGCCGACGACACAAACTCTGCGACAATGACCTGCCAGGAAGTTGTAGACCTGAGTCCTGGCGCCGAGGTCTTCAGGACTTACTCCCACCACGAAAGAAAGGAAGGGAGAAAGAAACAAGGTTTCTGTCTTCATTTCTTCGTTCCTTTCTTTGTGCGGGTGAAAGGAACCTTTAAGGGACCCCCACAAGTTTGATGTGCTCTTTGGAAAGGAACGCTGTGCACCCAACAAAAAGGTCAGGTCATGATAAGATGCCTTCCAACACCCAAAGTGCTTCGATTCAATTACACTCTCTTGGTATGCTTTGACCAGCACATACCCCATGGGGCTAGGCCAGGCGGATTTTTTCTCGAGTTGTATGTGGAAAGCAAACCTTGGATTGATAGTCATTCCTCTGAAGAGGCTGCAACATGGTTTCTGAGGCGGCGAATCAAACCCAAGGTCTAGCACGTCTGCAGGTTCGTGAATTCGCGTTGGGATCGGGTCTGTTCAGCACGAGCTGATGGCTTTTGCCGGGCGCGACCCTCGGGCAATGACGTAGGCACGGCAGGTGGGCCTTGAGAGGTTCCAAAAAGGGACCAACTTGGGATGATGGCAACCAGTCGGCAGGTAAATCCAAGATCTCGCACCCCCTTTGAGCGGTTGGGTTCAGACCACGTTCAGGGGGGATTCATCTCCCCACAACAAGAAAACGACGGTTTTTACTTAGATCTGGGGCCAACCAAACCGAAAATTCGGCAAGAGCAGACCTCCTCAGCTTCCTTGATCCCCCACATGGCGGATTGGGGCTTCTGGCGCCGACCTTTTCCCCAAGCACCCAAGCGGGAATACACAGATCTAGTTGCCAATACAAGCCGTTTACAAAAACAATCACCCAATGCTTGCTTCCATTTGGCCCACCGGCAACGCCCCTCTTTTTAACGCAGCGGTAATTCTAGAGAAATAGACACATGTTGTGAGCACAGGCCTTCCTTTGGGAAAATAGACACATTCCCTGGTAGATTATGAGAAACATCGGGTCAACCAGGGCCATCTATTTGCTACATTTTGGAGGGCAACACTCTTGGACGGCACGGGTCAACCAGCCATGGCTCAACCAGGTTTTATCGGGTCAACCGGGGGCAAAAAGGATGTGCTAAAACGGCTCCGAAGATTCTGGTCGAATCGCTTCTGATCCGCGGGCTTCTTTCAACACCAGTCGGGGCTGGGTTTGATGGGTGAAATGTGCTTCCGGAACCGAACACGGGCTTTCCCTTTTAAAAAAATAGCCAAGTGAAACTTCATTTGGTTTCCTGGCTTGGGGTCCGGCTTGGTCTCTTCGGGCGTCCGGTCCTCCACTCCTCATCCGCGTGCAAATCCGCGCCTGGCGGAAGCTGGCGCGCGGCTTTTTTGAGGTGCGCTGGGCCCATGGATAGGACCTGAAAACTGTGACAGTGGTTCCCCTTTGAGCTTGAAGCTCTTAGGATGCTGCCTGCAGCACTCTGAGATGGAAGTGCCTTCCAAAATGTCCAGTTGCTTAAGTCACCTGGAAACAAACTCCTGTAGAGATGGCCTCCCTGAAAAAACACCAACAGGATAACATGTCACATATTCTTGAGCAAATACAAGAAAATTGGTTGAGAGAGGATTGCTCCAGTTTTCGGAGATCGGATTAACATCCTACGGGTTTTGCCCAACCCAGAGCAAACGAGTGGGAGCCATGGACCCCAGAAACAAATACGCTCAAGTGGTATCCCTAGCTACGGAACTCCCCGAGACAGTTGCACTCCATAGCTGCCATGGCTGGGGAAAAAGAGGTCGAAGGTTGGAACACACCGAAGTTCCAAAAGGGTGATGGAAGCCAACAGTTCCAACCACAACCAGAACCTCGAAGGGGTGACAAACGAAAAACGGCTTCCAGGTTTTAATCAAGATTTGTTTGCAATTCGCCGGATTTCGCATAACGGTGTCAGAATATGTGCATCGCAGCATCAACAGCAATAGTCGGCAAGCCAATATGATCTATGGGGCTAAATAATTAGAATAGGGGTTTGGGGTGCCATAAGACTGGATTGAGTCATGATGAGGAAGCGCTATTAGTTTCTACTCAGCCCCTTGTATTACCCATTTGGGGCTCACGGGCAAACCCTTTGGGACATCAGCCATATACATATATATATATATATATATATATACACATCATATTTGTAGATTGTATTTGTTGTTGCTTCTTTTTTTTTCTTGGGGGGCGGTGATCCGGTTGGAGCCTTTTTTTTTCTATAGGTAGGAACCAATTCCGCGGGTCATCGCATCTTTCCTCCTCTAATTAGCGAGCGCCGGGCCTCGGCGCCAGGCCATGCCGAAGAACTCCACCACGCAGTTCCCGCCGGGGTAGAGCCTCTCCGGGGCCTGACGCGAATGACGCGAATGACGCGAATGACGCGAATGACGCGAATCCGTGCACTTCCCCTCGATCGATTCGCTCGAGATGGCTCGATCTGCTCGAGGTTCTCTTTGCCGGTGGTTGTCTGGAAGTAAGGGGAACCCGCTCGACTTGATGGGGTCTTTGTTGTGGTCTTCACTTTGCAAAGGACATCGAAGTAGGGGAACCCCGGCTCTAGGCGGAACCCCGGGGCTGGATTTTGATCGGGTGTCCGGTTCGATGCTTTAAAGCTTCAAGGCCACCTGACAACCCTGGAACAGGACAGGTTCTGCTTGGATCCGGGCTCAGCAGTTACCGTGCCCAGAGTCCAAGTACCTTCTGAGGATGGCTTTTGAGGGGTCGAAAGGGGTCTACGTACGTCCTTAGAAGGTACTTGGACAGTTGTGGGGTGGTTACCACACAGCTAAAGCACTGACCGCTGGAAAAACGGGAGAACAAAAAGCGATCTTTTTGGGGCGCCGGAACCAAAGTGTGCGGCCAGCCACCTTTTCGGCTTCCCCCGCAAGAAAAAATATTGACCCAGGCGGCCCAGGCGCTGGTCTAAACTAAGGTTGCCGCTCCATGGCCTGAACATAGGTGTCCTTTTTGGGAAAATGATGGATTTCCCTGGTAGTGGATTGAACCACCAGGTAAACCAGGAATCGCCCTCTATTTTTCAACCAAATCAACCAACAAGGACACCTATGGGCCTGGATTTGAGTCCCACATTTCCCAAACGGCTTCCCAGAATCTTTGGGTGTCACATCGATTCGGGTGCCAGCAGTTCCAATGGGGAAACCAAGATGTGTTGCGTCTGTTCTCTTTCTTCTTCTCACTTGCTGAGTGGATGTCCCCAAAAATCCAAAAAACCATATTTACCACACAAGTGGTCTTCCCAAAAAGTTTAAAGTTCATGAACTCAGGAAGTGAGTCTTGCTTTCTGGAACCCTTTAGTTGAACCTGAGCTGAACCCTCTGAAGCCTGCAGCTGCAATGGCGGGGGTTCGCAGCTGCTCCATACATCCAAGTGGTCTTCGTCTCGGCTGAACCGATTTACAAGTCCAGGATTCAATGAAAACGAACGCTTTTCTCTTGTTTCCGAAAAACAGCCCAAAAACTCCGCTTGAATTCCATAGACCCTTTTCCCCAGACCTCCACAACCGGGGGTCTTGGGCCCAAAACCCAACTTTTCCACATGCAAAACGTGGCCCCCGCGCCACCCGCCCGGGACTCTCCATCCGCCCGTCCGCCCGCGCCGTGAGGGGGTGAGTGCCGAAGAGGCGCCCCAGCAGACCGCCCCAGCAGTTCTCAGGGGCCCGGGGGAATACCAACCTCGGACAGAGAGAGCTCGAACGAGGCATTCCAGGGTTCCCTGTCCTAGGGGTTGATTCCTCTTCCGTTCTTTTCAGCCATCCTTCTTTCCAAAACCGGATCCATTTCTCCAGGGTTTGTGGTGGTTTTCCAGAAAGAAAGGTCCCTGGAAAGAATGTGGAAGTTACCCCTAGAGTCCTAGCATCATTGGACCTCGGTTAGGGGCTCCCTTGGAAGGTTTGGACCTCCAAAAGGGCCTCAACATGAGGGCCCAAGATGCTGAGAGTGCGCAGACCCATAAGCCAGGGTTCCGAAACGTCACCTAAAACATCACCTGAAACCCTGACATTCATCCGGAACCGAACTGCACCATGTGCCACAAGGGGCTGAGCCTCTGGCAGGCAACGGAGGTGCCGGGTATTCAAATTTCAAAGTTATGAGCTCGGCTCCTGGACTCGTTGGGATCAATGTCCATAACGGGGTACTTGGTAAGCGATGCATCATGGCTACAGCCCACCAAGCCATGGTCAGTTGTAAGTCTCCTGCTTTGAAATTCGGCCAAGTTAGCAAGCTTCTAACCACCCAATACGTCCCTGGTTCAGTGGGGGTTAACCTTTTGTGGTGGGGGGGGATTACCTACGGTGGACGCCTGAAAATTTTGCAAGTAATGATTGCAAGTACACCAACCACAACCCATGGGAATCTACAGGGTGTCTCTTGCTCCCTTGTAAAATTTAGGGCATTCACCGGAGCTTCCCATTACGACTTCACTTCGCATCGAAGACGCAACCACCCCCACGCTGATTCGACCAAATCTGCGGTTGGGAGGCAAGAGCCAGGCGATGGGCCAGCAACACAGGCAGCAGCTGCCTTAAGCCACCGGGACCCAGAAGGAACCGCGAGGGGGCACACCAAAAGGAGCTTGCTGCTGGTCGAGTGGATTGCCCGGAAAACTCCTTGCTACTAAGATGATCCAAACCCCAGAAAGTGCTAAGCATTTGAACTCACGGAGTGAGAAGTTCCTTCTATGAGGATTGATGTGGGGTCTTTGGAAAAAGGTCACAGAAACGGTTCCAAATCAAACCACTGGATCTGGTCGAATCCATGGAACCCCACAACACCAGGAATCCGTGAGGGGTAGCAAAAGGACAACCCAGCCATTTTTGACAAGGTCATTGAGATGGTTGGAAATGGCAACTCGCCCAATCTAATTTCTCGGGCCATGCAAAACATCTCATGCGAATCCCGAATCTCTCAAAACCGGGAATCCATCTTTTCTGGGTGAATCTTAAACAAAGAAACCGGGTTCGCATTTACAATCCCAAGGGAAATGGGAAATCCCTGTCGCTTGTGTGGCTACGTAGTCGCTAATTACATGGCGGCTACGTGGCTGCGTAGTGGTTAGATCAGTTTCACTTGTAGCACCCATCTTAGAACCTCGCAAAGAAAAAAATGATAAACTCCCATGGAAGGAAACTTCCTCCAAACCTACCCATTCGAGAAAAAAGAAAAAGCGTCAAAAGGGTCAATGGTATCGGCCGAAACTTTGAACATAGGTGTTTTTTCCTTGAGTTCCGATTTGGAAAAATGGGTGTGCAAACCTAAGCTAAGGGATGCCGACAGGTAACGTGGGTCTCTCCGGGGTTGGCACAAATTGCCTTCCTGCGTTCCGGGGCATCCCCGGAACATCCAAATACAAGGGCTTCAAAGTCAGGTCGCTTCGGCTTTTGGCGGCATGCCATTCCCCTCTGATATGGTGGATGCCCCCTTCACCATATTGCAATTAAACCAACCTGTCTGGACCCCCCAGTGGCTGGCAAATGGTCTGCAGAATGACCGCCCACTGCCTGTTTTGGGGTTGTTAGCCATTGGGGGGTCCTCGTTGTAGGTTTCACTTGCTCCCTACTTGCAATGTGGCAGGGGCAACCGTACCCCGTGGTCACATATACTGCACTCGGAGAGCGTCCCCTCCGAACTCAGACGTAACCGTCGGGGGTCCTAAGGGCTTCGGACCCTTTGGTTTTCTGAGGAAATGCGAGCCAGCAACAGGCTACCAAGGCCTGTTGCCATTTGAATTTGGCACGTAGAATGGCGGGTCGGATCGAAGATTTGTCAAGCTTCCCTTCTTTTGATTGCATTGCCACTTGCCCAGTGACCCGAAAGCCAGGAAAAGACTTGGAACCTTTTTGGGGGGGTTGAGCATTTTGGCCGGGTCCCGAACCCAAGCAACCGACGCCTGCTGCGTATGTTCAAAATCCCAGGTTCTGTCCGGACATGGGTTTCGCCCGCTCTGGGAGGGTGCAAATAAGGCAACCCGCGCCTTGAATTCCTCTAGTTTAGACCTGCGCATGACAACTGACAACTCGCATCGGTAACCAAAAAGGCCATCTGCCTCCATTTTTGTGAAAAGGTAAAAATATTCAGTAGTGATAGATTCCCTTTTAAAACCAACCGGGGAAAATAGTTAGTTTTTTTTTTTTGTTTAACAAAAAACAATGGAAGCAGAGTTTGTTGCCTGCTTCCATGGCTTTCTCTCTCTCTCTCTCTCTTGATTCGAGCGTCGCCAGGAACCGCAGGTGTAGGTGTTGCAACCGCTGCAGCAATTGCAGTCCACACCGGGAGCGGGGCCCAAGGGGCCACCCCAGTAGAAGAAGTCGATACCTTGCGCGACGTGATCGGGTTGGGAAGTCGGTACGGGTGGCAAATGGTAGGCGACTTACAACGCAGTTGTTCAGTGACCCTGGGGAAAAAAAGGGAACCCTTTTGGGGAAGATTTTTAGTGGGGCAGCCACCAAAGGGTGCCACTGAATAACTGAGACAATGGCAGGCTATAAGTTTCAACCATGGAAGGGACTGATCCAACCCGCAACAATTGGTTCACTTGGCAAATGGACATCGAAGGAAACCCATTGCGCCGAAGCACCCGGAGACCCGACTGGCCAAGCCCATGTGGGAGTGAGTCTGAGAACTGGGGGGAGGCGGGGGGCATCGTCCATCGTTCTCTGAAGTCCGAAGGATCCGTAGACAGGATGGGGAGGATGTGGCTAATGGGCTTGTCTTTAAATTGCCACCCTGAGATGGATGGTTTCAGTTCGTCCCATGTTTCACCAGACGAAAAAAGAAAAAGCGACACCTCTTTGCGTGAGTCTTTCTTTGAGGGTAGCCCTTTTGGATGCTTTTATAACGGGACACCAAAAGAAAAACCTTGCCATTTTGGGGGAGTGCGACCGACACCCAAGGTCTCCGGATGGCAAGATGCTGCCGGGGGCAGCGGAAGGCACCGTCGGGAAACCGCAGCCTGACAAATCCATCGGCGTCTTTTGGGGACCCGGCTTGAGGAGTTCCATGATCCGTGGCTCAACCTGCCCATTGGAACCATTGCTTTTTGGGCTTGACCACTTTCCAACCCTTGGTGGCAAAAACTCACTGCTTCTTGCAGTCCCTTACTAAACGAACATGACCTAAAATAAACATGCCACTGTGAAGACCATTGGTAGGAAAATGGATCCTACCAAACAAAGAAGGCAGTTAGAGCGCGCAATCCAACACCTGGGCGGTCGCTCATCGCTCAGATTGAGGGGCATGGCATCACTTGTTTGTAACAGGACCAACATGCACGTTTTGCCCTACCCCCAAATCGGTGGGCAAATCCATCAGAAAGTGCAGACAAGGAATTCCTGGTTCAGGGAGCGGGTGGACAAACACGGGAGCATCCTGTCAGTTGGGACATTGAATCGATTTTCTTTGGAAACCGCACAAGGAAGAGCAATATGTTTGCTGAAAAGGATGGGTTCCCCACAGAGAGCAAGAAAAGGCAAAAAGGGTAATCCAAAAAGCCTGGCCATGATGGAAAACACTGAAACAATCAACCTGAAAGTCCTGGTGTGTGATAAACGAAACAAGCCGCGAGGTGAGGCAATATTGCAACAACACAAATCGGAACGGCTGACCGTTATACCGGTACAATGGGGCAAACAAGTAGTAGAATGGTGGCAACACAAGTGAGCCGCTGACAATATTACAAACAAGGCGATAAGGGAAAACCCAAACCTGATATTGTATCAAATATGCAAAAGCGAGGTCAATCGCACGACCCAAATCTGGCACCCGAACTTGTCAGTTGCTTATATGTATATGGTGTACTCATTTTGCCTTGGGGTAGTGGTTGGAGGCTAACTCGTGCAAGCCCTCTTAGATGGAGATGGAGAAAACCACCCGGGCGCAAAGCGGAGAAGAAAAACAACGCGGTGCACCGGGTTCTTCGCCTCCGCAGTCGCAGGCACAGTTGCATCCGACGCAGTCCGCATTGCCGCCCTGGGGAAAAAACACCTAGAGTCTCCATGACCTTTAAAAAATCGGGTCCTTGCCCAAAATGAAGGTGTCATGTACCGATCTTCAGCGTCATGGAGACTCCAGGCAGACCCTTGAACCCACTGGATCCCAGGCCTCGATTAGCAATGCTCAAAGGCGGAGAAACCTCTTGCTTACCCAGAAAACCCGGAAGCCTTCGGTGAGAAACAAGGCAGAAGGGATCCGTTTGGGGGAAAAGTGAACATGTCTTTTTGGGGTTGATTTCACTTTTGGTGGAACCCACCCAACAAAAATGGAGAGAGTGCCACTGAAGAACTGGAAAAATGAATCAAAGGAGAGGAGCATGATGATTCTCAGAATTGTTGGCACAAAGTCGATGTGAATGGCAGCCCACTTTACGGTTTTGCACTCCCCCTGGAGATTCCAATGCCGCGGAATTCCTACGCGTTCTGGTTCTCAAGGCGTTTTAGGCGTTTTAGGCGTTTTAGGCGCTTTGCGTTTTTTTGTTTTGTTTTCCAGGTTTTTTTTTGCGGGTGTTTGCCCCTTTTTTGCGGGCGTTTTGCGGCAATTTGCGGGCGTTTCCTGTTTCTAGGCGTTTGCGGTAATTTGCGGGCGTTTGCGTCCAAAACAGGGTCAATGCCGAGAATGATTAGGAATTCCTTGACGTTTGAATCTCCAGGCCCTTGTCAAAGGCAAACTTTTTTCAAAAAAGTTCACATGAGCGAGGTCCGGACAACATAAGTCCAAACAAAAATCCCCGTCACCGAAACCTGCCTGAAATCTGCCTGGAACTCTTCAGGAGCCCCGGAACTGCCCAAACCGATTGACTCCATGCCTGGCACGGCAAACCGAAAGGGTCCCTCTAGACCCCTGAAAATATCGACCCCAAGGCAAGCTTACTTTCAATTGAAAAAAGGCGATGTTGAAAGCATCACCAAAAAGGGGAATATGGATGTTTCTCAAAATAGGAATCGGTCCATTCCTAAAGCAGTTGGCTTCCTTTGGGATTCTCAAAGTTACCACCCCCACGAAATGGGTCATAAAACTCCCACCTCGAATAAACTTATTTGGGGCCTCCAAACAAAGCTTGGTGTTTTTTTGGGTTGGGTGTTCTCCGTCTTTCGCTGCGCTCGGGCCGGTGATTCGTCTAGTTGACCTTTCAGAACCAACCAAAGAGGATTCCTCAAAGAGACGCCCCAAAAACCTTGACTCATCGACCAGGGGGGGACAGCCTCACAGCAGCTCGCGAAGATTCCGGCCACCAGCACTCCACAGAAGACCAGGATCACCTCAGCCAGAACAAAATGGGAGTGTCGACTTGTAGGTTTTCCAACCATTTTTCGGGATCCCCTATTTGAAGACAGACCCATATGGCACTAATGGCGAACACTATTTGGGTGCGGGGTCATGTCCACCAACCACTTGTCAGGGGGCACAACAGTTGTGCAGGTAACATTCCCATTGCAACCAACAATCCGCAGTCCTTCCTTTCAGATAACCACCAAGAACTACCCGTGGGGGGGGGGCGGAAAGGACACTTTCTAAACATCTACCCCGATCTAACTCGCTTGGACACCAAAATGGTGATGCCTGTTTATCACATTCTCGGTGCCCAGAGCAGATCCAAATTCAGCGGCGTTTGTCATGTAGGTTTATCTGTGCAGGGATGGTGTGGACACCCAATCCAATGTTCAAACTCTCGTAAGGGACAAGGGGTGAGCATTCGATCCATTGTTCTCGGACCTCTTCAATTTAGCAAACAAGCCCAATTCAACCAGCACAAGCCTTTGTTCTCTACGTGAGGTGCCTTCATCGTAGACCTTACCCTCCAGAAGACTGTACGATTGGGTTTGCGGGCCAGGAGTGTCTCTGAGAAAAGGCGGGTTCGGGTTTGGGGCCCGCTTCCTCGGGGTTCGGGTTTGGGCTTGGGTTGGGTTTGGGTTTGGGTTCACGTTCTGGGCCCGGGGTTTGCGTTCGGGTTCCGCTCAAGAAAACGGGAGGGAGGTTCAGGATCGGGCCCAGGTTCGGGTCGGCTTAGGGGGGTTCGGGTTCGGGTTCAACCTTTTTTTCCCAGCTCCCCGTTGCCACATCGATTTTGGGCTAAACGACGTTAAAGCAAGTCAAGCCAAGTATCACTGACCTTCGGCGTCCTTTGCGGGGGGGGGGGGGGGCGAGTTTGAGGTTAGGGGTTCTAGAGGAGCACGCGGCGTGTTGGGGGGTGGCCAAGAGCCGGCACATGTACATTCACTAGGCGCATTGCATGTACAAGGGTCATACATGTGTCGGGGAGCACGCCCCGCGCTGGAACCTGAAAAGACGGAGAAACGAGATGCAACACGTTTATACCAGGCGATGTCTGATTTGCCCCTGCCCCCCAAGCAACCAAACAAAAACGATTTTTTCACAACCTGAAGCTCCATTTCACTTTGGACACATGGAAGTGCTAATGTCGCTATAGCTCACGTGCAGGCAGCCCATGCAAAACACCCGCTGGACTCTGCCGGCATCACTCCGGCTGCTGGCTTTTGCGTCGTTGCTTCCAACCCGGAGCAGCACCTGCCCGCAGGTGAACACCTTCATGCCAGCCTTGCTTGGGACTGCGCAGGGCACAACCTGCCGTGGGCTCTCAGCCCGCCCCGACGGTTTTGGGACGATACTGGCAGACATCCAAAGCATCCAGACATCACCAAATTCATGGAATGCAGGGTTGGGCCAACCGCCTGTTTTAGCACGCTTAGACCACTGTTCCCTTCAAGGCGCTCCATGGCATTCTTGCTTCAACCATGTTTTTTGCACAACTCTGCGTTGTCCTCTGGCAAAAAAGCGTGATCTCCCATGTAATCATTATTTGGAGCATTATGTGGATCGCTATTCTTGTCACCGTTTTGAAGTGCCCAAATCACTATTTGATGACCATCGGATCACTATTCTCTTGCCGTGTTTTTGTCAACTGTTGCATGTGAGTCACCTTTTTCTTGTCTTTTCAGTTTGCTCCTAAGTTTCAGCTTGCTATTTTCTTGCTCCCAAATTATTTCACGTGTGCGTAAAAACTCTTAGCGCTTGTATCCGGAATACGGATTGAGGATGAGTCTTGAACAGCCCAGGTACAGTTATTTCAAAACAGCATGGCAGTGGGAGCCACTCTTTCCAATCGCGAAAGCAGCCGCGGGCCTCATGCCTATCAGCAGCTGCCTGGCAGCAGTGTGCAATTGACAACTGTCAAAGCGGCTTGAAGGGTCCGTAAGCTTCTATCATCGCTTCTTCCCTGAAAACAAACGGACCCGCCGCGATGGTCAGAATGCAATGCTAGCAACCGTGAGGTTCGCAGTGTTGAATTGATTTCCAAAAGCCTACCAAGGCCTTCGTGTAATAATAAACCAACCAGGGACCCTATTCCAGCGCGAGGGGGGGAGGTAGGGAGAACCCTTCCCCTGGAAAAGGGGGGATGGGCGAGTCAAAAGCCAAAAAGCCAAAAGCCAGGAAGCCAGAAAGCCAGGACGCAAAAAGAGAAGAAGCCAAAAAGCCATCAAGCCAAAAAGCCAAGAAGCCAAAAAGCCAAGAAGCCAAGAAGCCAAAAAGCCAAAAAGCCAAGAAGACAAAAAACCAAGAAGCCAAGAAGCCACCAAGCCAGAGAACGAACAAAGCACACACACACACACAAAAATACGAAAACATCCCCCCCCCAAAAAAAAATAACCCTCCCAAGGGTATCACCCACTGCGCTCCACCAGGATAGCTCGTCAAGCTCAACCTAAGGGAGTTACAGGCTGGTCAGTCCAGCCGACTTTGTTGGCTGCAGCCCCTTTTTGCCCGACGACAAGGGCTGCCACCAGGCCTGCTGCCAGGGAGGACGTCACCCAAGCCCTCGAAGTAGGCTTTAGCCTCGAGCCTCACTCAGCCAATGGCCAAGCAAAGTCTACCCTTTTGTAGCCACCACTAAACAACTGACAGGGGAAGCCACCCCCCAAAAAAGAATCAGTTTCAATTCATGAATCTGTCCAACACCAATCAGCTCCCCGGCTCTCAATGGCTCTCAAGGGGGCCCCAGACTTTCAATTCATGAATCTGTCCAACACCAATCAGCTCCCCGGCTCTCAGTGGCTCTCAAGGGGGCCCCAGACGTTCAATTCATGAATCTGTCCAACACCAGTCAGCTCCCCGGCTCTCAACGGCCCGCAAGGGGGCCCCAATGACAATGATTCCCGCGCCAAGCAGCGTTTGAGTGACCCCGCATCTTGACGAAATGGCGGCGTGCGCAATGCGATACGCATGGGTTGTTCAAATTCTACCTGAGGAATCCAACAAAAAAGGGAACCGCGGCAAGGATTACAAGCATTAGGGGCTGGTGTTGAACAACGCAGCATGCTGGATTCTGGGCATGTTCACCGATGGCGCTGGTGCTGATGACCCACACCCACACACAGAATTGCGGATAATCCAAACGACAATGCCAGCATGAGCAAATCAATCAACTGAGAGCTTGTCAGAGTTGTGGGTCCATATTGCTGGCTGCTTTTGAAAGAAGCCAAAAGCAAGCCCTGCAAAATGTGAGAGCCTGGCGCTGTAGTTCTGGGAGTCTGCCTCTATGCAGGTCAAGCTCCCATCGCCACCAACACCTCAGTCAGTGGTGGCCTGCCGTTCTTGTTTGTACTCTGAGCCATGGATAAGCCTTAGCAAAGGTCATGCCCCATGGGGCGGGCGTTCTTTGATGGGGCCGGTTCGGGTTCGGGTTCGGGCTCGGCCGGGGCTCTTTTTTTGTAAGGAGGGGGGGGCGGGTGGGTTCGGATTCGGGTTCGGGTTCGGCCGGGACTCTTTTTTTTGTAAGGGGGGGGTTCGGATTCGGGTTCGGGTTCGGGCGTGTTCGCTTGGGGGGGGTGGGGGGGTCGGGGGGTTCCGGGCAAGGAGTGGGGTGGTTCGGGTTTGGTTTGGGTTCGGGTTCGGGTTCGGCCCGTGCAATTGTTTTTTTGTAAGGAGGGGGGGTGGTTCGGATTCGGGTTCGGGTTCGGGTTCGGGTTCGGGTTCGGGTTCGGGTTCGGGTTCGTGTTCGGGCGTGTCCGCTTGGGGAGCGTGGGTGGGCGGGGGGGTTCCGGGCAAGGAGTGGTGGGGTGGTTCGGGTTTGGGTTCGGGTTCGGCCGGGGCTCTTTTTTTGTAAGGAGGGGGGGGGGTTCGGATTCGGGTTCGGGTTCGGGTTTCTTTCTTGCTCTCTTTCTTTCTTTAAAGGTTCTGGTTCGGCTACGGGTTTGGGTTCGACTGGGGCTCCAGGAAGCTCTTGCGGGCGCGAGATATAAGCGACTTCAGCAATTCCATGTCTGCAAACCGAGGTTCAGCTTCCCTCCCGTTGGTGGTTTGGTTTAGTGGTTTGGAGGTTTGGGGGCGGCTTCCCAGTTGCCCTCTACAACAGCCAGGGGTCAACTCCCCAAACTGCTAATCCAAACCAGCAGCGTAACCAAAACGCAATGGGTAACGGAGACCCCGCATGTGCCACGGTGAACACTTTGCCAGTTGCAGTTGCGGATCATAGTCATTGATCCGCAAGAACACGCATCTTGCTTGTCAACCAAAAACACATAGCTCGTCGAGCAGTCAAACAAACAAATCTCTTCTTAAGGGGCTCCCTAGTTTTCAGGGGTCACGATATGGCTTGTTTTTCGGGTACCCCTTTCGGCATTGGTGAGGGAAGCCAAAAGGAAACCTCCCCTATTCTGCGACAAACTCATTTTCCTTGAAGTCTGAGAGGAGCGTCAGACCGAAAACCCATGGTTGGAACATTTGTCCATGGATATTCAAACTTGGCTGGGACTCTATATGCCTTACTTGGATGTTCGGCCGGCCAAGGGGAATGTCTGTGGTTAGTTAATTGTTTTTTTTCACCCCCTAACAAGGCTACCACCCACACGGGGGACGAATAACAGTTGGTATCCTGGGTTACCGTTTCCTCTAGCTGGCCGGATGAACAGCCAAGTAATGTTTCACCAACCCCTTTGAACAAAATGGGGGGGGCCTGTGAATAGAACAGGTTATACTTAGACCTGGGGTCAACATTAATGTTGACTACATTGTTTTAATCAACCCCCGTTTCGAAATAGGGGGTGTTCCCCTCCAACAGTGGTATGATTCCCCACAAAGCCCAGGTTGACACCCCCCTATTCATAAACTGGGGTTGACTAATTTAGTGCGGGGTCGACATTCCTAACCCCCTACCTATGGCCTTTCGTTCTTTGCTCATGGGACTGCGATCGACGTCGATCAGAGTTGCCATGGCCCACAGCACCACGGACCAAATGAAGAGCGTCACGGCCTAGCATGAAGGAGACTTTGTCTCACGGGAAGTCCGGATCTAAGTCTATGAGGTTGATTTTGAGGGCTGATTTGTTTTCTTCTTTTTCTTGTGGCTTATCACTTGGTCGGATGGGCTGGCTTAGTCTGGGGTCGGCATTCTTTTTAGGGAACCCTCAAAAATGGGTTTGTCAAGGGTGTTCAGGGGCGTTCACAGCCTCAAAGTGTGCGGCTCCCTTGAAGGCAGACGGCGTTTTAGCCTGGAATCAAAGAATCACTCCCCTGCAGATTGATCCCCGAAAACCATCATTTTGCAGAGGACCCTCCTCTTGAATGTCTAGCACACCTTGCAGATTTGTAAGGGAGAGCGCAAGTGCTCTTTGCTAAATTCCCAATGAGGTGGCCGGTTCCTCGATGGTTCCTCGCCTCGGAAAGAGGCTGTTCCTCAGGGTGGCACGCTCCTCAGGGCCGCATCCCATAAAATGGAGTAGCACACCGTTTCAAGAATGAGGAGCACACCTTTTGCGGCATACGCAATGTTGAGGAGCGTTGCTCAAAGTTGGATGTTGCTCCAAAATGGGGCGGGTCGGGTGGCGGGCAGTCCTCAAGCGGGGTGTTGCTCAAAGCAGCTGGTTCCTCAAAATGGGGCGTTCCTCGAAATCACGTTCAGGCTTAGGAGTTTTTGAGTTTATAATGTGTATAGGATTGAATTTAAAGTTTCGAGGGTTTAGGTAGGGTTTAAGTATGGGGTGTAGGTTTAGGGCTTTTAAGGGTTAAGTTTAGGGTTGGTAGGGTTCGATAATACCCCACTTTCTGAGAAACACGCCACTTTCAGAAACGCCTAATTTTGAGGAACACCCTATTTGTGGAACAGTCCATTTCGAGGAACGCCCGTCTTCGAGACACGTTCCATTTTGAGCAACTCCGCGCTTTGAGGAACCCGCTGCATTCCCTGAAATGGTGTGCTCATAGATGGCCTTTTGGAAAAATAGATGGCCCTGCTAAATGGAATAAACCCCATCTAAACCAGGGCCCTCTATTTTTTCAGCAAACCAACCAAAAAGGACACCTATGGGTGAGCTCCTGATTCCCTTGTGCTAAGCTGCATCGTAAGGAACGCCCCACGTTGGGGTGTGTTGCTCAAAGCAGGGGCGATTCTCAAACCCGCCCATTTGAGGAGCATCCCATTTGCGGAACGTGCCGAAAAACACGATAAGCCTCAAAAGCGTAAACCTACGCCCGAATTCAGCCCTAGAACCGCGAATGTAAACTCTACAACGCCAACCGAAACCTGAATCCTAGCAACCCGAAACCTAAGCCCCGAAAGCCCTAAACTCAAACCTCCAAGCACGGAGCTCCTCAACATGGAGTACTTGTCGGGCAGGGGCATTCCTCAAAATGGGCTGTCCTCAAAATAGGGTGTTCCTCCAAGTGAGCGTTTCCCAGGGAAGGTTGGGGCTTTGCCTTTTACGTTTCGGGTTGTAGGGCTTAATTAGGCTTTAGGCTTAAGCGTTTAAGGCTTTGCTTTCAGGTTTTCGGGTTGTTCAGCACGTTCGGCTGTTCCTTAAATGGGCTGATTGTCAGGAACAACCCGCTTTTGAGAACCGCCCCTACGTTGAGCAGCACACCCATTGTGGGCTCCGAGGTCGAACGCACGCCGAGAGCCAACCCTAAGCAAACAAAGCACGGGGCCTATCGTCTGAGACTTGTCTAAATCACATCCCTTAAAATGCTGGCCCTCGAATCAACGGCATGACCGTATACATGTGTATATATACTATATATTTAAGTATAACTCTTGTGCGCTGACCCTTTGGCCATGTGCATTTCACCAACCAATTTTGAAGGGGCTCCCTTCCGCACTTCATGGTTCTGCAGACTCCCCCTTTGTTGGGAGGACTCTTTGGTGCTGGGTGGTGCTGGTTTGGTAGTTTGGCACTGCTTGAATATTGGTTTAGCATTGGCTGAGGAAGACACATGGGTGTTTGTCAACGTGTCTCTTCCTTCCAAAATGCGTCCCCAGAGCAAAAAGTTCGATCACCTTCTCAGATCCCCTGCTAACCTGCTAAAGGTCTAACTTTTGGTGGGTTGAATGAAAACCCCCCCACCAAGCGCTAAAAGCCAAAAAAAAAAACAAGAGGATGACTGGGAACCACCAAGCTTTGCAAGTTTCATGGAGGAACCATTTGCTTCAAAAAAAGAACAGGGCCTTTGCCTAAGGTCGCCATGACAAGAACCCAACAAGACGCCCCCAATTCATCCCCCCCCAAAAAAACACACACAAAAAACGATCCAACCTCCTCTCAAACAATCATTGCAGTGAGCAGGAGGGTTTTCCAAGACGGCCATCCTCTTGAAAAGACCCCCAAAGGTCGTCCACAATGAACTGTCCTTCGCTTAGCCGCTAAGCCAAGGTCACAGGCACTACGTGCCCGAAGAAAAGTTCCTGAGGTGTGAAACCAGCAGGAAAAATATGTGGAACATGGGAAGCCCTAAGCTCATTTGTCGCACGGTGAACTTTTGGTATTCCCGCAAAGGACAGTGGGAATGCGGATCGCTGGGTGACACCCCGAATAGGATGGGTGTATTTGCTCAAGTTCTCATGGGCAAAACGCCACGAAAATAAGAATATGTGACAGAGTCTCCTTACAACCAACAGGTAGGAGACCAATCATCTGACACAGACACACATGGACATTTGAGTGGGATTCCGGATCAGGCCCCCCACATTCGAAAAAAGGATCCGTTGGGTTCCCACGGGTCTCGGTCGGGTTATCTGAGCCAAGGCGCCCAAATAACCCCCAGGAAGATGTAGGCCCAAAGGCCCAGGTCCAAGACGTACAAAGACCAGGCGAAGTCATCCTGAAGGAATTCGGCAAAGCGCCCAAAGCGCCCGCCGTGGGTTAAAGGGAAACACCCCTTGGTGACTTTGATAACCACCAGAAAGCAGCAAAATACTCACCCCAGGCCTTCGAGGTTGGTTTAAAGAAACAAAAACTCGTTGGATTGGTGGTTTGGAGGGATATTTTCCTATTTTTCGTCCACAAGAAGGGGGTGAAATCCCCACACACCAATCCAAAGAAACCCAAAGGTGAAAAGGTTGGCCTTGGGCAAGTGAATACGATCCCCAACCTACTGACCAACCCACCGACCCACCGACCCACCGACCTACCGACCGACTGACCGACCGACGCACCAACCAACAGGATTCATGTCCACCAACCACTTGTGGTTGGAGGACCTTCTTGGACCTGAAAAACATGAGGAGCCCCTGCTTTGACCCAAGGACCACAAATCAGAATGGGTTCCTGTAGGCTTCCCACAAACATCGCGACGCAAACACGGGGGGGGGCCCGACCTCAAACCATCACACATAACGGAAACTCAATTGGCTCCAAAAAACTGATCTTCACAAGCGCAGAGGGGAAACATGCAGCATCCTGGTGATCTGCAGCTGTGAACAGACCTTCATAGGCCAGTTTACCCCAAAGTGAGCTCGCCGAGGCAAAACGAAAAGTTCCGCCTCAGGTACTCCTTGTGGATGTGGGTGCAGGTGGTTGACAAGTTTGGAATGGATAATTTTGACCACCGCGTATCCATCGTGGCTCGTCTATTTCAGAGGCCCCTTGAAATGGCTTTCCTGCTTGACCCAACCCCCAAGAACAATACCGTCAAAAAGGGCACCCCCATTTGTCCGGCCTTGAACATGGTGTAGCTGTACTGGTCCATGGCCAAGCACTCCCCGTGGCAAACCTCTGAGGAAAGGCGCAGGCCTCGTCTTCAGCGAAACGGCGAAACGCGCAAGGCGCTGCCAAAAACACAAAATTCGGGCATTGAGATAAATCTGCACGTGCTGGTGTAGACATGTATATATATATATATATATTATTTTATGTCCAAACTGGGCAACTGAGTTGGGGTTGTCTTTGGGATTGCTGGGGGGTTCCTTTTTCTCCCGCAAGCCTCGATGATCATTCATGGTGCACAAACGGCTGGGGCAAAGGAAGCGATTCAGGGCCCACGGAGGAGCGTTTTCGGAATAATTCAAAGGTAGGTACAAACGCGACGCCTCTTCTGGGGGAGGGGTCCATGTGTGTGTGTGTGTGGTGTGCGGTGTGCGGTGTGCGGAGTGTGGTGTGCGGTGTGTGGTGTGGTGTGTGGTGTGTGTGTTGTGTGTTGTGTGGTGTGTGCTGTGTGCTGTGTTGTGTGTTGTGTGTGTGTGTTGTGTGTTGTGTGTTGTGAGTGTGTGTTGTGTGCTGTGTTGTGTGTTGTGCTGTGTGCTGTGTGCTGTGTGCTGTGTGCTGTGTGCTGTGTGCTGTGTGCTGTGTGCTCTGTGCTGTGTGCTGTGTGCTGTGTGCTGTGTGTTGTGTGTTGTGTGTTGTGTGTTGTGTGTTGTTTGTTGTGTGTTGTGTGTTGTGTGTTGTGTTGTGTGTGTGTGTTGTGTGCGTTGTGTATGTTGTGTGTTGTGTGTTGTGTGTTGTGTGGTGTGTGTGGTGTGTGTGTGTGTGGTGTGTGTGGTGTGTGTGTGTGTGGTGTGTGTGTGTGTGGTGTGTGTGTGGTGTGTGTGTGGTGTGTGTGTGTGTGTGTGTGGTGTGTGTGGTGTGTGTGTGTGTGTGGTGTGTGTGTGTGTGTTGTGTGTGTGGTGTGTGTGGTGTGTGTGGTGAGTGTTTGTGGTGTGTGTGGTGTGTGTGGTGTGTGTGGTGTGTGTGGTGTGTGTGGTGAGTGTTTGTGGTGTGTGTGGTGTGTGTGGTGTGTGTGGTTGTGTGTGGGTGGTTGTGTGTGTGTGTGCGTGTGTGAGTGCGTGCGTGAATGTGTGTGTGTGGGTGTGTGTGTGTGGTTGTGTGTGTGTGGTTGTGTGTGGGTGGTTGTGTGTGTGTGTGGTTGTGTGTGGGTGGTTGTGTGCGTGTGTGTGTGTGTGTGTGTGTGTGTGTGTGTGTGTGTGTGTGTGTGTGTGTGTGTGTGTGTGTGTGTGTGTGTGTGTGTGTGTGTGTGTGTGTGTGTGTGTGTTCGTGCGTGCGTGAAGCGTGCGTGCGTGCGTGCGTGCGTGCGTGCGTGCGTGCGTGCGTGCGTGGGTGGGTGGGTGGGTGGGTGGGTGGGTGGGTGGGTGGGTGGGTGGGTGGGTGGGTGGGTGGGTGTGTGCATGTAGGTATGCATGCATGGAGGAATGGATGGATGCATACATGGATGTATGGGTATGGATGTTTGTATGTATGTACGTATGTATGTATGTACACATGCCCACACACACACACACGCACACACGCCCTACCTGCGCATTCCCGGCCAAACCTGGCCGGAGTCCAGACTGAGCTAGGGCTTCGCCAGTGAAGGACACCAAACCAGAGCAAGGGGCTTCAAGGACTTGCCAAACATCCACCAACTTCTCGTGGGGGGGGGGTCAACTAAAGAGAACCAACAAAAAACAAATCATAAAAGCAAACAAAACACATAGACTACATAGAAACCAAAACGCAAGGAACACAAGAGCAACAAACAAAAAGCCGCCACACAAAAAGGAAAGAAACCGCCGCCAAGAACGAGCACTCGCCAGGGCGCTGCGCCACATGGAAGGCATGTGGTGGTCGCAAATGACCCGCTTCCGGCCCAAGGGCAGACAGATCAGCGCAGCTGCCAGGAAAATCTGGAGAGGGAGTGCTGCAGAGGGTGTGTGTGTGTGTGTAAGAGTGTGTGTGTGTGTGTGTGTCATGATCGTTTTTGTTTCATGGCGACTTTTCTTTCCGCTTCCCAACACCAAGAATCACTTTCTGAGTGGATTGGCAAAAAACAGCCCAAACTCTTCCTTTCCCAAAAAGTCAAAAAGTTCAAAGTCCAGGAACTCAGACTACGAAGCTGAAAAGGGTACATCAAAACACAGCCCAACATCATCGAAGCGGACTTGAACACACCCAAAAGCTTGCTCCTTCTGCCAAGCCGGCCGAACTGGTCGAACAGAAAAAGAGAAAAGACAAGTGGACAGGGTCACCCGCGGTTTGGCTCAGGTTGTGGACTTTGGACCAGCGGCAGGTAACACCTAGGGGGGGCCATTGGTTTGGGAATCCGACAGCCACCAAACGGCTTAAGGCCAAATAAGACAAAGGAAGACTTTGGCGCCAACGGTTCAAAACGGGAATGTGGACCATGCCCCTTCTGCGATCTCAGGTGACTTTCATGCCCTTGATAAGGTTGTTTACCTCATAAGTAGGTACCAAATGGCTTCCGTCTTGTGGCTTGCGCATGCAACCCTCAATTCCTATGTGGCTGGGCCCAACCAAAACAAGATCCTGTTTTCGACACTCAACTCTTCCCCAACATGAATGCAAGTCGTGGAACTTCGGAACGAGAACCGAGAAGCCCTAACATGCAGGTCAAAAGGAAAGCGACGGACCCTAAAACCCGACCACTCGGGTGCTGGCATGGCATTTCTTGGAACTGGTGTGACCCAACTGCTGGGTTTAGAAGCAAACCAACACAAGTACTGGAGAAGCCCTCAACAGTCCAAACAGATTGCCCAAAAACCAGCCGCCAAACGGGACACGAAGAGCTGCAAAGCCGGCTCATGGCCCCAAATCTGGGACGGACGCACCGGTCCCAACAAAAAACGGACTCCCAAGCCCAACAAAGCTGGAGGAGAAAAGTCACCGTCGGGTGCTTCCCCCACCTTCCAGGAGTACGCCATGAAGGCTTCGCACTTCTGCGTCGCCTCGGATTTGTCCATCGAGAACTCCTTGGGGAGTTCTTTACCCAGGGGTTGGCGACCAACCGAAACAACCTCCCCCCTAGCTTACGGGGGAGGGGGGCCAAAGACCACAGGGTCACCCATCTCCGGGGGTCACTTGGTACAACATGGACTTTGAGAGTGAGGCTTCATGTAGGGTACCTGAGAAGGTAAGCAGGGGATCCTCAGGCAACGTGGGATTGCTTTGTCTTTCTGAGGATAGCCTTTTTTTCAATGGGTTGGGTTAAAGGGGAACCAAAAGGAAGCCACCCCGGTGTTTAGTGATCGGATATGTTCTGTCAAAGATGCTGATCCTTCGGACAGCATGAGGCGTACCGGCCGCCCAAGCGAGACTTGGGTGTTGTCTGACATAAAAGTTTGTTAATTGCCGAAATGTATCACGTAGAGAACATTCATATCTAGCCAGGGCAAGAAACTTCTTCGGCTCTTGCCCCTGAAAGCTGTCTGTGGGTTGTCATTAGGTGAACCTCGGAATGGGTCATGTGTATCCAGGCTCTGCAGCCCAAAGGACCTGAATGCACAATACCATAGACCACTTACATGTTTGTCGCCAAGTTCGTGTCTGTGATTTGCCACTTGGGGTTTTCACCCCCTAGCAAGATTGGCCCCACCAAAAGGGAGAAACATCAGTGGGCTGCATCCTGGGTTACCGCGACAACTTACTAGCTTTGCAACTTGGCAAGGAACACCCAACCCGACCAACAGATCAAAGGTCAGCTTTCCAGCAAAGCTAAGCCGCCCGCCCAAACTGAGAAGGTGAACATCACACCCATGCAGGCGCCGCCCCCTGCGAGCTGTTCTTTTTGTCGGCACCTTCGAACTTTGGGTCCACAAAGCATCAACAATCAATTCAACAAATAGCATTATCAATTCATGGGTCGATTGAGAACAAACAACTATCAGAAAGCAAATTGAACTCCCAACACCAACTTCAATGCGCGTTAAGAGCTCCATAAGTAGTACGGCTATGAAAGTTTTGGGATCTTTGGTGGTCATTTAGGTGCGAATTCATGTCCAACCACTTTTGAGGTGGTCCCCCATTGAAATTCATAGCCAGCAAAGATTCCAGTCGTAAATGGGACAACCCCTATTGAGCACCAAGGGGTAAGGGATGAATGAACCGCAAGGCGGAACGCACATATGACCCAGTCCATACCCTCCCCCCAGCTTCGCTCATGCATCACGACTTGGTACTGGGAAAACGGCCTGCAGTCACGTGACTTGAAGTACCAGCCAAGGTGTCGTTTAGACAAATCGAATTGGGTGGCCTATTGAGCTCGCTTTACCACATCTCCAGATCCACCCAATTGTTAAACCAGCTCCAAACCAAAACCAACCCCAGGATCAGCCAAGGCCCACCTGAAGCCAACCCCAAAGCCCTCCAGCCTGTCACATGCTCAAAGGCCTGCGACACGTTGCTCCAAAATGAGGCCAGTGATGTTGATTGAGGTTCGGGCCAACAAACCAGCCAACCAACCAAGCAAGCAAGCAAGCAAACAACCCACCACCCCCACCCAGGCGAAAATTAAACTGAGACAGGCCTAGGAACCAAACACAGAGTCCTGTTTAGAACATGACTTCAGTTGGCCAATGCAACTAAATCCACAATATCTATGACGCGTCCAAAGCAAAAAGGTGCACCAAGTTTCCACGTAGCTCCTGTTTGCTGCATTTGCTCAGCGGTACGGTTGAGCTTTCGACAAGTCCAGGCTGCACGAGTGCTGGCCTAAGGGAAGATTCGGACAGCTTCAAGCGTCAGAGCAGGTCATGGATTGAAGCGGTGGAAACCAAAAAAAATCAAATCAATGTCCCACCACTAAGGTGGTTTTGGACCCAGCAAACAGTCCAACTTTGGGTCCGTGACAAAATCTTAGTACGGAAATTGGTGGTATCCTGTTGGTTTCCGCTTAAAGCCACCCCCAAAAAGCGTATAGAAAGATACACCACCCATTTTGCTGACTGGGCAATATCGGAGCAGGCATTCCACAGGTTGAAAGGCCACACGTGGCCAAGAGGTTCCCACGTGGCACAATCCAGCGGCTCCCTGTAGGGCACCAAGCCAACGCACGGATCCACAAGATCCGCTCCAGGCAGAGTCGGATATGGCCGGATCCAAGACGAAAGGTTTCGGTTTGGTGTTTACAACTCAATGAAGACAGAAAAACAAAAAGAAAAAAGAGAAAAAACAACAGAAGCCTGTCGAATACTTGAAATGCGAGCAACCAGCTGACCGTAGTTGAACAAAACACATACGGCAATCGATTTTCAACAGGGCAGTCGCTGAACAGTGGGACATCCATCCCCACCGAAATGCTGTCCGCCAAGGGCTCCCTTCAAACCTCATATTCGCATGCGCCCACCGTAAACTTCGACCCCGGTTGCTTGGGTTGATCAACAATCGGTTGGAGCACTTGAAAAGGGACCCCAAAGGTGAGTCTTTGGAAGCACAGATGGCCCTGGTGAATGGATTACAACCGTTCTAAACCAGTGGAACGGACTGATTTTTTACAACACCAACCTAAAACGGACACTTGCGGACCCAAAAGAGGGGAGGGTGCCCCTTCACTTTGATTGGGCCACTTTCAATTCACCGGGTGCCGCATTTTCAGAGGCCATGGCAGAAAAAAACGAAATTCGCCCCCGTTCTCGTCTGTTTTGGAGGGTACCCCCTTTGGTCGGCTCTCAGGGAAGCCGAAAGGAAACCACTTGGGGCGACCCGGCTGGATGGCCTTTACCCTCGGTCTCGAAGCCATGCCCTCCGTTGGCCAATGCAGATGACCAGCCGCAGTAGCAGTTCCAGCCGTGCACGGGGCAGGTTGTGCCTGCACGATTTTTTCTTTTTCTTTCGAAAGGTGGCCAAATGGTCGGCAAGGCTGCCCCGGCACATTGGTAGGAATTTCAGTTGGGGAATTTCTGGTGAACCAGTGGACGGCAGCTGCTGTGTCCCCGACTATGTTTGCAATCGTGCCCACGACTATCTTTGGCAGTCGCAGGTATTCTGCAAACTTAATAACTCGCACATCGCATCTCCATATTCTAAATCGGAATTTGGACATATGTGCATGGCACCGTAATGATGGCATTCCGCTCCGTTTCCCTTTGAAGCAACCTCAAAAGGTTGTCATGAGTTAAAATGAGTTACTCCCCCGGAATCACACGATTGACCGCTCACCAAACCCGAAAAGCAGCCTTGACACGTTCGAATCTTGGAAAGAAATCACATCATGCAAAGTGTAGCACAACCCTCTGTTATTTTCCCTGAAGGGTCAGGGTTAACTTCCACATTCTATCACATTCTGTTCAGGGTCCTTTCCAGAAACCACCCAAACTAAAAGCAAAGCCTGATTATTTGAATACAATGACGGCTGAAAATAATTGGGAACATCCCCCCAAATCATGATTGGGCGTGTCTTTTTTGGAGGGTTCCCCGCTTTAAGTGCGAAAGGGAATCCAAAGCGATGGCAACCATTTTTGGGTTCTATTTCCTCCACTTGTGTTTTTGTCCCCTAGAAAAAAAAAAACAAAAAAACAAAAACAAAAAAACAAAACACTACTCCCGGTAGTGATAGATTCCATTGAAAACCCACAGGAGACAATAACAGTCTATATTGGCTTCAGCAAATGGAGCACTGTTTTGAGACCTCCCCCCTCAAAAAGTCGAAAGCTAAACCCCAGGCGGCACCTGAGCCCAAATGACTCTCGCACTTCTCATCGCTGAAGCACTGATACTGATCGCAAACTCCTGCGTGACACAAACAACGCGCCGCATCGCACAGTTCTCACCCGCGAATTGACATGGAGCCCCCCAAAACATGGCGCACATGAGATGTGGTACCAACCTTTTCAGCCCTTAAAAACACCATCCTTGAAGAACCAAGGAACCCTATGGGAAAGGATGGGAATCAATTCAGAAAATGGACTCCCCCAAAGACTCGGAAAACAAGTCAGTGGTTGCTCAAAGGAATGAGGGAGACGAGTGCTTGGGATCAACCTCGAAAAAGCATACCATGCGTTGTGGGCTCGACCCAACATTGCAGCGTTTCAGGTGAAACCCTTTACATGGCCAAGGCGCAAAAATGACACAGAAGCTTGGGGCGGATATGCTCATAGCAAATGTTGTTGCTTGCAAGGGAGCCACATGTCTCATCTTCAAGGAAACGAGGAACCAGATATTAGACATCTGGGGAGATGCCCAAATCCCCTCAATTCCACAACCCAAAGAACTTTGGTCACTCCGTATCTGAGCAAGAATCGACTAGGGGGTACACTGATCCAGTGGATCTCAGGCGGATGCTTAAAGGGTATGACACCCCCCCTTAGGTACCTACGAAACTTGAAACACAGTTGAACTTTTTGCTAGTAAGGGAAAGGAAGGAGACCCCCACACAGACCAAGAATAACAAACAGGGTCAGCGAAGTCCAGCAATGCTCAAAACCGGGCAGAGAAGATCTGTTCTCCTGACAGGAAGTTCATCGTGTCCTCAGGCGGCAGGTGATTCCACCATCCTATCCATTCCCCCTTCAAATGGTGCTGTTTGGCAGCCCTTTGTTGTGGCTCTCAAGGAAAACCCAAAGGAAACCGAATCCATACTGTGGGGTCCCAAAATCAAAGACACACCAAAATGTCACCCAAACCAAAAGCAGACTCCTGATAGCTGGCCCAAACGGAAGCATAGCGAACTTTGCCTTTTGAGGACAAGGGGACCCCCACTTTTAGAAGGCGCCTGTTGGTTATTTCCAGAATCGTGTGCTGTGAGTCTCTATCCACGCATTCGGCGTTGGGAAAAGCATGATCCGGTCAAGAGTCCTCATGTCCATCCGGTGACAGGGATACTCACGAAAAGTTAGGTAGCAGTATATAGTTTCCGTTTGGCATTGTTGAAGCGGCAGGGACAATATGAAAACACTCTGGGGTTCGAATGGGTTTCTCTCAGGGCCTTGTTTGAGGTTTCTCACTGTTCCCAGATTCTCTGCAAAAATGCCAGACAAAATGGGGGCGGGGGCTCCCCCCCCACAAAAACGAGACATCCCCATATAGCGTTTCACGCTCACTGGCTTACCAGGCATCCCGCGCCAATGTGAGCAAAACCACCATTGAGTTGTGCCAATTTGCTTGGACCCAGACCGAAATGGGCGCAGCGGCGCTCCTCAAAGCCACAAAAAGAGGGCTACCCCTCCTCCAACAAACCAAACAAACAAAAGAAAAGACAAACAAAAACATACCCCCTGGATCGCCAGTTGCTTGATTCCATGAACTTTACCGCAACAACAAGCAACAGTGACTGAAAAAAGCAGCAACTTGGCTATCTAGGCCGTTTAGTATTGGGTCGATCCTTGCAAAGGGACCCCAAAGTGCACATGCATTTCATCCAAGCCGGTTGCTCCAAATACCCCGGATGCTGGGCGGGGGAAACACAGGAAACAACTCTACCCTTGTCTCACGTCCGATCGAGTGGGTTGGCCAGAGAAAGTCAAGCACTTTTTGTTTGCCTCTAAAATAGTCTTCTCAAAAAGTGACTGAAGCCCATGAAGTGAACGGCCGCCTTTAAGAGGCTCGGAGCCAAAGAATGAAACTCATGAACTCATCGAGTGGCTGGCGAAGGACAAGCAGAGAGCATTTCAAAGTTTGACTTACAGACGGGCTGGGAACCTTGCGTCAAACGCTGCAGACTTCCTTTTGCACCTAGCGATGGAAAATCACATAGTCATTGTCCAAGGACTTCCCACAGTAGACTTTGTGAGGACACATTCTCCCCACTGCAAGTGACAGGTACAAGAGCAAGAGCAAAAAGCTAAGCAGCCTCGGGGTGTCATAGGTCTGCCCACCTACCCACAAAGCTTTATTGGGGCCAATCGGTGGACGGGGCTTGGTGGAGAAACGCACTGGCAGGGACCTCGCCAGGTTGGCCGAGTGGCTGTCACTGAGGACTTGGCCCAACCTGCACACGGCGAAGGCGGCACAAGGCACCTGGTTGGTGATTGGTGTCCAACATATGGCAGTGGCTCAACAATATGTACCTAAAATAGGCTTGCCCTGGTAAATGGAAACATGGATTAAACCTGTGGTCCCATGGTGGTTTAATTTTGACCCATACTAATATGGGTGTGGCTCAGAATTCAAGAGCTAGGGCAAACCGCAGGTTTTAGTCTTTGGTTCCATGTACCAAGGGGCCATTCTGGTACATCTATCTGAGCCACAGCCATATATACTCAGGCCTCTGTGGGTCATACCCATGGCATCATGGCTTATCACTTGTCAGTAGGAGTTGGGTCATAACCATAGCTACTTGTCACCTATCAGGCAGGCCCCCTTAAGTCGAATCTTCGTGCTTCTCCAAGCAACGTGACAAATGGGGTTTCAGTAGTAAAATCTTGTTTTGAGGATACCCCTTTTTGCTTGGTTTGAAAGAGATGCAACAATATATAAACCCACACATTTCGGGGTCTCCCCTTTGAGACAGACGCATGTCAGGGATGGGGATAGTTAGCGGACCCAAAGACCCAGGCCAAGCCAGGAGTCTTAAAGGTCAAACCCAGCCGTTTCAACCCTCTGACACGGTGGTCCGATGGAGGCTTCTGCAAAACGTGCTCCCTGTGCCGGATCCAAACAACGTGGTGTACCCTGCAGAAATATCCCGAGCCTTTCACAGATCCCTTTGGGTAATCAGATCCGTGTTTTCAATGTGCATCCCAGTCTGTTTGATGCTCAAACGCGCCATACAGTACACATCGGGGCTGTTGCAAAATGGCAGACGCTCTTTTAGAAGGGGCCACATATTGTATAGATTTACGCATTACAAGCCCCAGAATTGGTGCTCTCCTTTCAATGCAAAGAATCTGGGGACGGTTTGCCAATGGCCTTCTGGAAGAACGCAGATACTGAATCCAAAGGGAAATGTAGCCGGACTTGTACGGCTCAAGCAGTACTGGCGGTTCCTGAGGGGATTTGAGCCGCCTCAACTTTCATGGCCCGGCCAGGGTTTACGCTGTCCCGAGTAGCTTTGAACTACTCCAGCCATATTTGCACTGATTAGTACTATTTTCCCCACACTGGAAACAGGGCCCCCTAGACAAGGACCTTCATGACGGGTATGCTCGTTCGAATTTACTCCGATAATATGGAAGTGGATGGTTGAAGGTCTGTGCAAGAACCTCCGCAACCAAATCAACAAGAGGAACCACACAAGCGAAACGAAGCAACCAGCCAGAAACAAAACGATCAAACGCATCAAAAACACAAAACCACACAAATTCAAGCTGAGCAAACAGAACAAGCAAGCGCAACAAGTAATTAAACAACCAAGCAACAAACCGATGCCAGGCGCCTTCATAACACTTGCAGCTCTGGGCATCTGCGTCCCAGTCGCCTCAGCTCGCTCGGGAGAGGAGCAGTCGAAGCATTGGCTCTTGAGCCGCCGGATGTCATCCAATGTTTAGACTAGGTTCTCCAGTTGAGAGGTTCGAATAAGGGTGCCAACTTTTTTCTATAGTCTATTTTAGCAGGGGAACCATCCACCAACAAAGGGTAAAAGGGCACTCCTGGGGGATAGACACTACCCTATCTCTACAAGATGCGTTCATCAACTGGCGCCCGGGAATGGATGTCAGATAAGAGGCCTCCTTTGGGCTGAATTCCAGACCATGAGTGCGGTAGGACCTGTAGGATGGTCAGGCAGTTTTTCAGAACTGGATTTTCATCGCTCCGCATAACGTTCCTCCCAGCGCTAGGCGATTGCTCCAAAGGTCAATGTGGCATTCCCAGATGTACGTTTGCTGAACGGCCGCCCCCACAAACAGGAGGGGAATCGGAGACACCTCAGCTTTGCAAGACAGTTTTGGATAGCGATCCTACGGAAGAGGGCCACCCCGAAACAGCATTGGCGCAGCACACTTCAAAAACAAAAATGGGGCAGCGTGAGAACAAACTTGCAGGATAGAATCGCCACATGTTGTATGATCTTGATTGTCGCCTTGCACTTCTCGTTGCATGAGTAAAGTGCGTGTTTTCGCAAGCACGCGCACTGACTGCCATCACGAACCATTTGCCCTATTACATCCGTCTTGCGAGCAGGTGAAACGAGCCAGCGCAACCCTTAGCGCCTGGAATGCGGGCGCAAGGCCAAGATTTCCCCGTTGTCTTCGTTGGACACGATGGCTGTGCGTTCAAATTCAGACACCTCGGCGTGTAGCTCCGCGTAGTTGGGGTGATCTGTCTGAATCTTGCCACACAGACCGCATCGGCCCCCATCGACTCCTTTGTTGTAATCCCCGCAATGCAAGCACTTGTACATGCTGTGGCGGTCCGACTTCCTAAAGCAGTGCCGGAATGGATGCTTCCCTTCTTTTGAAAAGTCCAAATCGTGCATGTCCCAAAAGGCCGTGAAAAGAGTGCCTTGTCGAACAGCTGCCGCTGCAGTTTCCCACGCTTGCTTGTTAGCCTCCGCTGAGTCGGGCTTGGACTCCTCCAGCTGCTCCCAGTCTTTCTTCCAGTCCAGCATAAGTTCTCCGGTTTCGTCGCCAAATTCGCGCAATGCTCGCAGACACAGGATGGCCCCCGACAGGGAAATGTGTATGACGTCACATGTCCCTGCCACACGTTTTACAAAGGCTTCCAACACAATACCCGCCGGTCGGTCTTCATGAAGCACAAGCTTCAGGAAGCTCACTGCGAAAGACGCAGGCTGCGTGCCTTTGAAGAAGGCCAAGAGCTCTTCCTCATTTTGGGATCGCTCGGCTCCGCAGCGCAAGCGCGGAAAATCCTCCCTGTCGCTCAACACCTCCATGGGCCTCACAACAACGTCCACGTTCACCATCCGTTGTTTTTCGACCACTGAAAACTTCAGGGCTAAGGTGCCAAGTTCGGGCCTGGGTGTCCCGTCGGGTCCACGCACAAAAGGCAGCTGCTGCAATTCTTCCAGCATCATCTGTCTCACCTCCTGGCTTGCCACGCGGCCGTTGTTCAACACAAAGTGAAAATCAAGATCGCTGCTGAAAAGGCCCGTGCGCTTTCGGTTGGATCCAACCCTTATCAACGAACCACTCCATCTCTGCTTACGAGGCAAAGAAGGGCAGGCCAACGCATTTGACAATCGTGTGTGGGTCGTGAGTGTCAGCCTCAGCGTACGCTTTCCAGCATCCACGTGCCGCGACAGCACGTAGGCAAAGAGCCGCGGGTCCGGAATTATCCAGCGTGGCAACTGAGCAGCGTCGCACAAGCTGCACAGCAAAGCTGCGATCTCCGCGTACTTGTCTCGCTCGCTTTGACTGGATCGCGGCATCCGATCAACCGATAGTGCCAAGTTTCGCCACGGGGATGTTCCCAAGTGCAAATCCCACAAGGACTTGGCAAGGTTCCACAAAGGTGCTTCCTGGTCAATACCATCCCAAATGTTTGCTGTGTGCAATTTTAGCTTCTTCAGGGCCAGCTTTTCCAGTTGACCATCTCGAAGTCGTCTCAGGCAGGGAGACACCAGAAGATCCACCTCACCTGCCTGTGCCATTGACATCCACTGGCGAGGGTTACTGGAAAAAACTGTAGCATTGGCTGGTCGAAGAAGCAGGAATCCCTTTAACCAGGATTCATGGATCTCTTTCCATGAAATGTTCGCCTCTGTCAGCACCTGGCAGTTTGTCAGCCAGAATGCCCTTCCCCTAAGAAAGAATCACAATACAGAACAAAACGGATTCTAAACAGTTCCAGTTCTGTTTCTCGACCCCTTCCTCGAGCGAGAGCAGGAACTGAGGCGATTCTTCCTCAAGATCTTGCTTGAAGAGCCTTTTCAACGCTGGAAGCGGCACAAAGCAAAGCCGAAGCCAGCAGTGCACCATCAGGAGCCACAATACCCATCGCGAACGCATTGCAGCAATTCCAGTCAACTCAGATAATGTCAAATGTTTCGGGCATCAGGACCATTCGTAGTTAGAACCCAGATCGTTGGAATGGCTCGGAAAACCAGTTGTCTCAAACAATCCAAGTCCTCTTCGAATTGTATCCCTAATCCGAGAAGAAAAGAAAGGGCTGCGCTTGCGACCTTGCAGGGAATGACTAAATGGCTACACGACGGCAACACTTGCATGCATCATGGCGGGAGCCAAACGCACAGGTATTTGAGTTCCTGATGATTCGCGAACACATACCTCGAGATAAATGCCTCAGTCTCTCCCAGCCCGTGGTATGGCTCCATGTCTGCGTTTGCCGCCCCAAGCATGTAACAAGGCAAAGTCTGGATATCTGGAGATATCTTCCGCTATGGAAGCTGTCTTGCTTGTTAATCAGTACCTAGCTCTGAGCACATGAATCTCGGCCATGCAAGCTCCTGCCAAGTCAGCATGAACTCGAATTATGATTCAAGAGACTATTCTGTGATTCGGATAGAAATTCCGGTCATGGTAATTGTGTCCAGATTTGTGCAAGTGGAGTGACACTGCTCTGGCAAGATGAATACTAGTGAGGCCATTGAATCCTGCGTCACGCAATCATCATTTGCTCTGAACGCAGGAGCAAGTGCATATCGAAGGTCAGGATCCGACTCAGTTGCCAGGCGATTGGTGCGAAGCGGATTTTGGAAAAGCATATTTGGGTGTGTCTTTCCCTAAAAGAAAGGAGACACTCATTTTCTCCCCAGCGGCCGTGCTTGCAGTCCGTCAAGCCCGCTGCCAGCACAATACCTGAGCTGAGAGAACCAAGAAGGGGGATGTGTCCAGAAGGTTGAGCAAGCCCCTGGTTCCAAATGGTCAAACCAGTCGAAACCACTTTCCCAGACTTCGACCCTCTTCAACAGTTATAAACTTTGTGCTGGTTGAAAGACTAGATTATGAAAACCCCCAAAGCCAAAATTTTGAAAGGCAAGCTAAGTCTGGCAATGCACTGTTGTTTAACCAACCTGCTTTCAAAGTCTTTTTCAAGGAAACCCCGTTCCATATAGCATCTCTATCAAAGCAACACTTTTACCCAACCGCGTTTGGAACCCCCGAAGTAGGGCCATCGTGAAGACACTGCCCAGCAGAGCTCGTCTGCGCGTCGACTTGGTGCTTTGCTTTTGGCCCATGTGCCCAAGACCCAAAACAAATTGTCCACTTTATGGGGACTGGCCAACAAACAGTCTAAACTGGTTCTTTGCCGCCAAAATGGTCTGGCCAACAAGCTGCAACTCCACGAACTCAGGGAGTGGATTGGGGCCTCAGGGGCATGTCTAGTGCTGACAAACAAATTGGCCTTTCCGGGTCCGAAACGGAAACGTGCATGCTGCATTGACTCCATTCAGCAAAATGTCTTGTACATGGCTGTACCAAGGAGCGTCGATTCAATTGGTCGGAGGCACATTTTAGAAGAAGTCATCCGGCTTGCGCTGGTTGTTGGGTTAGCTTTCCCCGAACTATTGGTCTATGCTCCTTTCAGGGTCGAAGGCCGAAGCCCAACCCGATCTGCCCGTGCCAAGCGTCCCGTAAGGCTCAATGTCAGCCATCGCGGCATTGTCTGCGCGGCCGGCTGAAACGCCGAGCTGAAACGCTGCGCTGGCCAGGCGACGGTGATGTGAGAAATGAGAAATGGCATGGAGCCCCGGGCAACTCCCTTTCAATTGGAGCTTTCTCCAATTCAATTGAGGAGAATTCCTGACCGTTCGGCCCAAGTGATCTTTGAAACCAAAAAAGGAGACAAGGGCCCTGGCGTGACCCTCGTAGCCCCTGGTTTATTGCACCACGAAAAAGCCCGCCGAGGGGTCCCCGAAACAAGGGCTTTTGTAGGTCCAAGGCGGTGAACGGCGCAGGAAAACCCTCCGCGCTGTGTTGCAATGTGAGCGTCTAGGGAAACATAGGGAGCCCTGCTCTTGAAACACGGACCACCTTTCCGTGTGCTTGTCGAATCAGCTGAGCGGACCATGCAATATGCAAAAGCAAATGATCTAAACTTTGAAAGCACAGCAATCGAAGTGGAAGCGCATGTAGCTGCTAAGCTGGAAAGCTGTGCCCAGAAACCAGCCCCGGCGACTGAGGTCAGTTTACCGGAATGCAATTGCGAACCATCGATCCGCTTTCCCTATCCGTTTTGGGCTTGGGAGTCACCGACCCTCGCCTACCCAGTTGGTTGTGCTTGTATCAACCCAAGCTAAGCCTGGACAAAGCCTTCATGGCGCTCAAGGTCGTCGCCACTTGAGGGTTCGACGAGAAAGGGACAGAAATTCGGAGGATAAGGCGCACGTCACGTCTTGTGCCCATTTTGACGCTTTCCAGGGCAATGTGGTTTAACACATTCAGGCCAAGAACACGTTTCGGAGAGAAACCTCGAGGATGGCTGACTCAACGGCGCCCAAAACGAGGGATAGAAAGTCGCCATGCAGCCTCAGAGCGTGAAACCATGGCCCAAAGGATCCCAGGTTATAGTAGGTAAGCAAGGGAAACCAAAGAGGCTTCATCTGGGTTGCCCATAGAAGGATACGGAATCACTGGGTGAGTCAAGGTGAGTACCTGACACCAGAAACACACAAAGCACCACCCACCGATATTGGCCCAACCTGAGTTAGGCCTCCGCTCGAAAACCCAGTGGATTTTCTCCAACCATTCTCTTGACCCATCCTTCTCTTCAAACACCCCCGCTTGTTCAACCTCGGCTTTCGGAAAAGATGTCTAAAGAGATTCCCAAAACGAGAATGGGAAGGAAGGGTAGAGTTGGGAATTGGAAAAGTTTACCCCATTGTTCTTTTGAGTAACCACGAACATGTTAGGAGTGGTAGGCAGGATTTGCCACCGGACTCGCAATCTCTAAAGTCCCAATGGGGAATTTCCCAAGGCATGCCCAAGCCCGAGAGCCATCAGGGCCCGGCGATGAAGCTGCCGCGGCTCACCAAGCCCGTCCTTGGAGAAATACACTAACAGTCAGAACCACTGAGAAAAAAAACAAAAAAACAACAACATTCTACATATATACATTGTACATATTCCAAGCGTGAAACACTGGAACATCTGTTCGGTGACTCCATAGTCTCTATAATTGGGAGAGACTTCAGAGACAGATTCTAAGCCTACCCCCCCCCATACATGTTTGTTGTCCTGCTGTCTACGCTGTTTCCTGACCCGAAATGCCTTTCCAAGTGGAGGCCGGGGAAAACATCCCTTCGGGCTTGAGCTCAGAAGGAAGCCTTGGGGATGCCATTTGTGGGGCCAAGCAAAAAAGGGATTCAGAGGGTGGAATCTACCATACTGGGAAACCCTACGTCATAGGTCCCTCGTTGTTGTGGGGAACTTGGGTATTGTCCCCTAATTACATGCCTGCCCCTGACTGACCAACTATCATAGGCCATCTGTCAAACTTAAAGTCTCACTTACAAGTGGCTTGCAGAAGACCCCATTCATTGGCCCCAACCGAGTGTACAGAGTTAATTTGGCTTTGGCTCGGATGTCCGTCTTTCACAGATTCGTTGAGAGAGTGTGCCCCATGTCATGTCTTTTGGTACGCATGATGAATTTTGGCCATTGCTCATATCAAGTCCCATCCTATCAAGTCGAATCCTACGAGTCTCAACATGACACCTGCCTCGTGCGATGCATAGGGTCACCCGTCAATGGATGCGAACAGGCAGGCGACAATCAGAATGCTGAAGTGTAAGCTGGAGATGTCAGGTATCATCCCTATACTCACTTCCCAAACTGTTGGTGTGCCACTAAATTGGCCCAAACCCCAAAAGTGACTAAAGTTCAGGAACTCAGGAAGTGATTTTCCCTTCTTCAAGCAACCCCCCGATCTCCCCTTTTGGGACGGTTTAGAAACGGTCCAAAGTCAGGGACCTATGGTTGGCTACCCGCTGATGAGAGGAATCGAGGGGGTCCCTGTGTTGGGAACCGCCCAAATACAAAGCTGTGAAAAAGCGAAGGCCGAGTCCGCAAACTCGAAGATAACCTAAGGGTCCCTCCGGCCTTATAGGTTTGTCTCAAAATGGGGAACAGGCGTGCATCAACATCCGACAATCCGACAATACGACACCAAACCAATAAGCCGGTGCTGGGTCCAAACACCGAAACATTGTCCGCTGCTACTCTCAGTGGATGTGCATGTGCAACAATCAACACCTGATGGAGTTCTCTCCGGCTGCACTAAAAGTATTTGGCTTGAAGAACATGACGCCTATCTAAACCAGCAGAATCCATATAAGTCTAACCAAACTAACCTAAGGACACCGATGCATGCGAGGTACCCACCACACACGTTTCGCACGAACAAATACACCGGGCGATGTCCTGGACGAGTCCAGTGCGCGCCAGAGCATGCGAAGCCTCGCATGCGTGTGGCTTCAAGGGGGGACGTGTCTGTTTTCATCGGTTTCAGACCCAAAAGCGGCAGGTACAAAGGAACCGTCCACACAGACTTCATCAGATTATGATTCACCAACCTGAACCAGGGAATGCTGAGGTAAGAAGACGTCATGGGTGAGACCTTTGTATCCACAGAGCTTGCTGTATTCGGCTAGGTTGACAGGTATGATCCAAGAGGAATACCAAGTTGCTCGAGCCCCGATTAAGCAAAAAGCGGGCCAGCAGGCGGGCCAGCATGAAAGCGGAATGGACCGACAGGTCCACCCCCCACGTGAAAGGGCAAACGTCCAAACATGCCCAAAGACAAGCCAACCAACCCAAACAAGGACCCCTTTTTGGCTGCAAGTAAGGGGAAACTTCAGAAACAGTTTGGGTTTTGTTTCCCGGGATCGACCCCATGTTCTGTTCAGCCTCAAGATTCCTCGGACCAAACCCAAGCCGAAGGGGTTGACTTTCGTATTTGTGGAAATTGCCCGCTTGGGAATCAATTGGTTCATGTTATATATGTTGGATGTGGTGCAAACGGAAACTGTGTTGGGCACGAATGCGGATTGGATGTTGGTGCCGGGCTGTGGTAATAAGGGAATGGTCTTGAAGAGTTAGTGCTCTAAGGGACTTTAAGAAGAATCACAGAAATATCACAAGATATCACAAGCAACATGGGGAAGCTTGCTCACACAAAGGTGAGCTTGCAATCAATCAGGCAAACTAGCCTGGAGTCAACACCAAAGTAATCTCGACATGCTTTACATTGACTGACCACGATCATCATGACCATTAGCCTTTGTTGGAAAAAAGAGTCCCCTACCGACAAACTCTTGAGTTTGGCAACGCCAGTCTTCACAGCAACGCTGTGAAGTCAAAGACCCAGGCCACCAGAACCTCAGAAGCGGGTCTTGAAAAGAAACCACGTCAGGCAAGTTATCTCTACAGCCGCGATTGCCTGGCCCAGGTGAGATTCAAAGCCGAGAGCAATGTCACGTTGCTCAGGCCCAATGAGAAAGGCGACATCTTTTGGGCTCGCTGGTCTGCAGTTGCACTTTGGGGGCCCATTTCTTCAAGGCTGATCAAGCAAAAACGGGCCGCTAAAAGTGAAGCAACATAGGACGTTTACTCAAAAGGTCGGTGGTCAGAACTGCTTACTGGTCATGGATCCCTTAAGAATAATGATGGTTGAGGATCCTTACCTAGTCCTAGGCCCTCCAGTAGAGAGGTTAGAATATTAGAATAAGGGTACCCTTTTTTGCGTAGTCTATTTTAGTAGGGGAGCCGTCCCAACCAAAAACGGGTGAGAAAGGGCGCTACTGGGGGACCTAGTTGCTGTCCCCTTCAGGAGCCGGTCTTTTGACCACGGCACGAACCCGGGCCTGTCGGTGGGCAAGTCCCGCGGCGAGAGGCCCAGGCCGGGCCTCCAACGAGGAGGCAACAAAAAGTGCTCCGAACGAGAAATCCCTTGGCAACGAAAGGAACCCATTTACGTTTCTTGGTATTTCCGTCGGGGAATCACCAGTCATTCTCCTCCATTTGCTTAGGTCACCTGGACAAAAAATATATATTTCCAGTGACAGATTCCCTAAATACCAAGAGTCTCCGTGACCCTTTAAAACTAGGGGTGATGACCCCATTTTTAAAGGGTCATGCAGACTCTAGGATTTCCGAACGGTGGTGTGAAATGGATCTCGCAACTATCCACAGTAGGTGGACCGGATGGAACAAAACCAGTGGCCACGCCCCAGTTGGATTCCCTTCAAGCCGCAAGGAAAGTATTTGGCTAGCCACTTGTTTTTTTCACCCCACAAGGCTAACCCCACATTCAAAGGGGACACAAATAAGTGGGTAACCTAGGTTTGGCCGTGGCATAAATGGAATAGAACCTATCTAAACCGGTGGAACCCATCTATTTCAAGCCCTGTAATAGGGGGCGGACCTATTTTGGGGCCCCATATGTTTATCAGGACTCGCAGGGAAATAAACCAAATGAAAAGCTGGTGGACATGCCCGCCAAAAGATCCCCTATCAAAATTTGGGGGCCCCTTAAAGGGCTGGTAAATTTGACGAGTTTTCATGAGTCACAATCAAAATCGCACAAGGGGTCTAGCCAAAAGGCTGGGGCTCACTTGCCTGGCCCGGCTTGTGTTTGTGGCTCAACTGGAATGGGCTTAAGGTTCCGAACTGGATCTTGCAGGCTCCACAATAGTGAGTAAGACTAAGCTGGTTTTAGTCTAGATTTCCCATTGACCAACAGCCACTCAAGATGGCCTTCAAAAAGTGATGTTTGCAGCCTCCTAGGGAAACCTACACGGCCCTGCGTGTCCAACCCAGGTCTGTTAGACCCCCACAATGTAGCCACTGAAAAGGGACCTCGGTGACCCCAAGGCCTAACGCGGCCACGCTGGCCATGTGAGTTTTTTGGATACGACGTGAAAACTCATTTCCTGAGTGTACTGGCCGAAAGTCCAAACTTACTGTTTGCCACTAAAATGGTTGTCCCACAAAAATGACAGTCCATGAGCCTGTCCATCGCGATGCCGCAAGTGCGCCCACCAACCTAGCTTGCAAACCATCTTGACCCTCACAGATTGAAAGCATCCTGAAACTAACATAGATTCTCTTGTGAAACCGACAGAGGGAAATTACAAAAACAGCTTCTGACAGGCAGGTAAGGAAGGGACACTGTTGCGGTACAAAGATGCTTCAATGGAACATCGGGTTGGGCCACATAGTGCGCCGTCGCCTCGTCCGAGCCCATGTCTGCTGGACCTGCCAGCAGCCTGCAACTTGCGAGTCCCGGATGGTACCCACTTGGGATTCCCGCAGCTCACAATCTCTTCTGGCCAGCCTTGCGCTACGCCTCACACTTCCTCGGCGCGCCAGGCAGACACAGCGCCCTGGACTGGCTGACCTCGACCAAAATGCCAAGGTCCTGAGTTCCTTCGCGCAAGACTGTTGCACTGGGCCCCTGGGTCCACTCATTTGTGGCCTGAGAACAAATCGGAAGCCCTGCAATACTCACTTCCTGAGTGGATGGGCCCAGAAAAGTCCCTGGAACTGTTTGTTGACCCACAAAAACGGCCCAAACCACAGGCTGTCACTAAATACTCCAGACTGAAGTTCATGCGATCTGCGAGATCCTTTTTCCAATAGGCTTCAAGTCAAGCCGCGTAGCCTCCCTTGGACCCCCGGAAATGTCTCCGTGAACGTCCGAAACGGCACTCGAGTTGGACTCGGGGCTCGGCAGCGCGCGCCGGATGGCGGACTTCAGGTCCGCGAAGCTCACGGAGCTGTCGCCCGTGGCGGTGCAGAAGACCTCGAGCCACACGAGAGGCGTGGAGGCCCAACTTCGCGAAGGGATTTGGACCCCCTCCCCCCACCCGGAAAAAAGAAAGACAGATAAAATAAGGTGGCTTTTTGTTGAGTGTCCTTGTAGAACAGTTCCCAAAAAGGATACCCGCCAGAAAGATATTGTCTATATATACATACATGTGCATGTAAAAGAAACCTAATATGTATATAGAGGGATTTGGACCCCCCCAACCGAAATCGCGCTTTTTGTTGCTGGGTGTCCTTGTAAAACAGTTCCCAAAAAGGACACCCTCCAGAAAGATAATGTGTATATATATATATATGCATATGCATGTAACAGAAACATAATATGTATATAGAGGGATTTGGACCCCCCCACCCGAAATCGCGCTTTTTGTTGCTGCGTGTCCTTGTCAAACAATCCCGAAAAGGATACCGTCCAGAAAGGTAATGTGTATATACTGGAAATTGACATATGATATGCATATAGGCAGGTACATGTTGGGTATATATATATATATATAATGAACATATTGTGCATCTGGGTAAGGTGCTATAATTATGAAACTGAAATTCAGGAATGCTCAAGTACATTACCTTTATCGTGTGTGAGCTGGTTTTACCCCCAGGTTATCCAGCTTATTTGTGCCGAAATGCATGCCTTAGTCGTAAAGCACAAAACCACCTCAAAACAGAAAAGGGTGCAAATGTGCCGTGCTGGAATGAGTTGGTGCATCTGGAGTGAAATACGACAATTCAGAGATCTATTGTACGGGTTGGGCATAAAAAGAAGCTGCCTTCATCATTCAGGTTGGTGAGGTGTGAGGTCGCTGCAATCCACCCAACATGAATCGGATGATGGGTCTTGCCCGCAAATTTCAAGGGCAGCAGGAAACCCCACCATTGACAATGGTGCCTTAGTCTACTCCTCTGAAGAAAAGCATGGAACTCAACACACAGGGGCCCAAAAGGAGATTCCTCCACAAAGGCGGTGTCTTTGGGGTTCCTTCCGTTCATCTGCAGGCGAGCACTTGCTAAATTCCACAGATTCGTAAGGACCCGTGTCGTGCTGGTTTGCTACTTGCGGAATCCGCCTCTTGCCCCCGGAAGCCAAGCATTGGAATGGGGGTCTTTGGATTTGACACACTCCGTGGGACTTGGCGACCCTTTTTGAAGGCCTCTTCTTCAACAACTGGATCCCGAGAGCGAGTCGGGGTCGAAAAAAAGGAAAATAATCAGAATCATCAAGGACCCTAGAAATCACTCCACCAAAGATCTCCCAAATCGATGAAGCCTGATTTGGCCTCAGTTTCTTCCTCCAAATTTGACCTCATTTCGGGGAGTCCACTCAGAGCCGAGGGCCGAGCCCGATACCAGTTGTCCGGGCTTTGGTGCACCCTCGGCAGCCAAAAAATCGACGGGTTGAAACTTGGCACTTGACAGCTTCAGTCCATCAAAGGCTGTGAAAGGGGTTACTCACTTCCGATCGAGTGGACTGACCAACAAAAGTCCAAACTTTGGGTTTGCCACTAGAATGGTTTTCGTGAAAAGGTTGAAGTCCATGAACTCAGGAAGTGAGTGAGTGGTATCTCAAGGGGCATACCCGACACGTGAAGAATCAAGAGGCGGATAGGCAGAATTTGCCAGTTCATTTCCCCGAAAAGGGTACCGACACAATGCGAGCCTGTCCCACCTTGATTGACCCGTCAAGTCTGGAAGTTGACTCGGTCTGACTTGGCTGATGTGGGTGTGTCTTATTCTTGTGGACCCCTCCTTTGGGGGGAGGGAGGGGCGGGGTTTCGACTCTTGGATTAGCCTCAAAACGAAGACACCCATGTTGATTGGCAGTGAATTTGGGTAGAAGTTGGCTGAAGTGGATTGTGAGGCGTTAGGGCGTCTGAATTCCTAAAATCTCCCACACAACATATTGCAGAAGGAACTCAGAAGTCAGCTGTGATTATCGCTAGAAAGGACAGTATTGCCAACTGAGCTTCGTGAATATTCAACAACCGCCGTCTAAGCAGGATACAAAGGACCGGTTGCAACCTTGACCAACAGTGGTTGCCAACATGTGAAAACCAAGGGGCAGAAAGGTTGATTCAATGTGGGCCGCAGCCAAACCTGGACCCAGTGGTTTCAGAAAGGGTTCCCTGATAACATTCATAGCCGCATGATGATTAGGCCATGGTGTAGCCAGGGTAGCAGTTGGTCGGTGAATAGCGGGGCCCCAGCAGGGGAATGCTTTTTTTTGTCCTGGGCCGGAGCCGGGCCGGAGCCGGGCCGGAGCCGGGCCGGAGCCGGGCCGGAGCCGGGCCGGAGTCACAGCCGGCCGGAAGCGGGAGCTGAGGCCGGGCCGGAGCCGGGCGAGAGTCAGAGCGGGGCGGAAGCGGGAGCTGAGGCTGGGCCGGAGCCGGGGCCGGGCCGGAGCGGGCCAGAGCGGAGCGGAGTGAGCGCCGGAGCCGGGCCGGAGCCGGGCTAGAGTCAGAGCGGGGCGGAAGCGGGAGCCGGGGCCGGGCCGGAGCCGGGCAAGAGCGGAGCGGAGTGAGCGCCAGAGCCGGGCCGGAGCCGGGCCGGAGCCGGGCCGGAGCCGGGCCAGAGTCAGAGCGGGGCGGAAGCGGGAGCCGGGGCCGGGCCAGAGCGGAGTGTCAGAGTTGGGCCGGAGCCGGGCCGGAGCCGGGCCGGAGCCGGGCCAGAGTCAGAGCGGGGCGGAAGCGAGGCCGGGCCGGAGCCGGGCCAGAGCGGAGCGGAGCGAGCGCCAGCCGGGCCGGAGGCGGGCCAGTGTGAGATGGCGGACGGCCGGCGCAACCTGCTCCGCTGCGTGGCCACCTACGCTCCGAAGTTCAGAGCCGGCCGGAGCGGGAGTTGGAGCCGGAGCCGGGCCGGAGCCGTGGAGTGAGCGCCAAAGCCTGGCCAGAGTGGCAGAGTGGGACGGGTCGGAGCCGGTTGGAGCTGCAGCCTGGACTGTGCGGAGCGAGAGCCGGAGACCAGCCAGCCAGAGCCCCGGAGCTGGCGAAACTTCACTTGTTGTCCATACTGTGTATGTTCCAATCCCTAAGCTTTAAGAAGCACACACACACACACACACGAACACATAATGTTGCTTTTATGTATGTATGTATGTATGTGTGTGTGAGAATGTATGTATGTATGTATGTTTCTTTGTTTGTCTGCAATGTATGTGTGTGTGTATGTATGTATGTATGTATGTATGTAACGCATGTATGTAATGCATGTATGTAATGTATGTATGCATGTATGTATGGATGTATGTATGTATGTATAGATGTATGTATGGATGTATGTATGTAATGTATGTATGTAAGTATGTAAGTATGTCATGTAACGTAACGTAACGTAATGTCATGTAATGTAATGTATGTATGTAATGTTTGTCATGTATGCATGCATGTATGTACGTATGTATGAATGGTATGTATGTATGCATGTATGTAATGTATGTATGCATGTATGCAACGCATGTATGTAATGCATGTATGTAGTGTATGTATGTATGTATGGATGCATGTATGGATGTATGTATGGATGTATGTAATGTATGTATGTAAGTATGTAAGTATGTATGTATGTAATGTAATGTAATGTAATGTAATGTAACGAAATGTAATGTAATGTAATGTAGTGTATGTATGTATGTAATGTATGTATGTATGTATGAATGGTATGTATGCATGTATGTAGTGTATGTATGTATGTATGTATGTTTGTTTGTGTATGTATGTATGTATGTATGTATGTATGTACGTATGTATGTATGTATGTATGTAATGTGTGTATGTATGTATGTATGTGTGTATGTGCGCATGTATGTAATGTATGTATGTAATGTACTGTACTGTACTGTAATGTAATGTAATGTAATGTACTGTGTGTAATGTAATGTAATGTAATGTGATGTAATGTATGTAATGTAATGTAATGCAATGTCATGTAATGTATGTATCTATGTATGTATGTAATGTATGTATGTAAGTATGTAATGTGTGTATGTATGTATGTATGTATGTATGTATGTATGTATGTATGTATGTATGTACGCATGTGTGTACTGTATGTATGTATGTAAGTATGTAATGTAACGTAAAGTAACGTAACGTAACGTAATGTAATGTATGTATGGATAAATTAAGGAAATGAAAGTATGTATGTACGTATGTAAGTATGTATGTATGTAAGGCATGTAATGTCATGCAATGTAATGTAATGTAGTGTACTGTAGTGTATTGTAATGCGATGCAATGTATAAATGTATGAATGTATGTAATGTAATGTGATGTGATGTAATGTAATGTGATGAAATGTACTGAAATGTGATGCAGTGCAATGCACTGCGATGTAAAGTAATGTATCGCAATTTGACGTAATGTAATGTATGTATGCATGTATGTAAGCATGTGTGTTTCTATGTACGTTTGTATGTATGTATGTATGCAATGTAAGTCATGTAATGTAATGTAATGTATGTATGTATGTTTGTTATGTATGCATGTTTGTATGTGTGTGTTCGTATGTATGCAACGTATTCATGTATGTATGTATGTACTGTATTGTATTGTATTGCATTGTTTTGTATCGTCTTGTATTGTATTTGTATGTATGTATGTATGTGTGTATGTATGTAATGTATGTATGTACTGTATATATGTAATGTAGCGTACTGTAATGCAATGTAATGTAATGTAGTGTCGTGTAGTGTAGTATATGTCTGTATGTGTTGTTCTTCCTGTGCATGTGTATATGTATGTATGTATGTGTGATGTATGTATGTATGTATGTATGTATGTATGTATGTATGTATGTATGTATGTATGTATGTATGTATGTATGTATATATGTATGTATGTATGTATGTATGTAATGTGTGTATGTGATGTATGCATGTAATTATGCAATGTGTGTATGTATGTATGTATGTGTGTAGTTATGCAATGTATGTCTGTGTGTATGTAATGTAACATAATGGAATGTAATGAAATTTTATGTACTGCGTTGTATTGTAGTGTAATGTATGTGTGTATCTAATTCTGTAATGTATGTTCTTATGTACTGGTGTAATGTATGTATGTATGTATGTAATGTATGTATGTCATGTATGTATGTATGTATGTATGTAATGTAACAGAATGTAATGTAATGTAATGTCATGTCATGTCATGTAATATGTATGTATATATGTGGGTATGTATGTGTCCATGAACTTTTTGTGTGATGTAATGTGTTGCAATAAAACGTAATGCAATGTAATGTGATGCAATGTAATGTAATGTGCTGTGCTGTAATGTAAAGTACGTCTGGAATGTAATGCAGTGTAATGGAATGGAGTGGAATGGAACGGAATGGAATGTATGCATGTGTGTGTGCATGCATGCATGAAATTATGTATGTATGCATACATGCATGTATGCATGTGTGTGTATGTTTGTTTGCATGTATGTGTGTATGTTTGTATGTACGTATGTACGTACGCACGCACGTATGCAAGCCGCCAAGACAGATTGCGCTAAGCTTTGAATTGCCACTCCAAACGAGGCCTCACATCGCCCGCATCTTGCTCTTACATGCGACTTCCAGCGCAACAAATACTGCGACGCAGCCGTTGCATCTCAAGATGCGCGCCGTTGCCGTGCGCGACTCTCTCTCGCCCCCGCATATAGTTTTCTCTGGTTCCTTTGAGCGTTCCGTCTGCTAGCGGCGTGTTACCTGCACGGATCGCCTTTTGCGATTTTCTTTTAGACCTGCCTCCGCTTGCGTTGGCCTGTCCTAGGCCTACCCAAGGGGTCCCCGTAGCCCTACACTAGGCCTGCCGACCCTTTGCGCGTAGCGTAGCTCTCTGCAAGGCCTGTCGAACCAGCCCTCTTCTGGGCTGGAGCCCTGTCACTGCGGGCCTGCTCTTGGCCTGCTGTAGGACTACGAAACCCCATCCCTTCGGCCTTGGCAAAGGCCAACGCCCTGGCCTAGGGCCTACCCAAGGCCTACACACCTCTCTGCTTACGCCCTCTCATAGGCCTACCAACCCCCTTGCCTGGACCCTACAACAGGCCTATGCACAGCCTTTTTCTTGGGCGATCTATGCCTGCTGGTGACATTCTATTTTTTGCGCTTGCGACTGGAGTGTCTCGCTTGCAACAGTATCCATCTTGGTTACACAAGCCCTCCGGGCCAGAGCCGGGCCGGAGCCGAGCCGGAGCCGTGCCGGAGCCGGAGCCGGAGCCGGAGCCGGAGAAGGAGCCGGAGACGGGCCGGAGCCGGGCCGGAGCCGGGCCGGAGCCGGAGATGGGCCGGAGCCGGGCCGGAGCCGGGCCGGAGCCGGAGAGCCGGAGACGAAAAAAAGCTATAGTGCCCCAGCAACAGCGCAGGCAATGGCTCGCCCACTACAGGAACAAGGGGTTCAAACCCCCAACACACCAATCCAAACCAGCAGTCAAGGGGCCTGAAGAATACGCTCAGTTGCCCACACGACCCAGAAGCAAAAGGTTGCCCTTCTGGGGCAACTAAAGTGGACCAAAAGAGGGAAACTAGAGGGTCAAATGGTCGATTCGCTTTGGGCAAATGACCTCCATTTTGCGCGTGTGCGATCTGTTGGGTGGGTAAATGGCCATCCAGTTCCTGCTCATTTGCTCCCCGAAAACCCAGCCAACCAAAAGAACCGGTGAAGACAACGAGAAGCGCCGTGTTTCATGTACGCCTTGGTCTCCCGGCCGGTCGGCGCGAGCTTTCAGGGATCGCACGGTGCTCCGCCTAACGGTGTCAAGCCCTCGAGCCGACTCTCGAGGGCGTCTTTTCAGGGTGCCGATGGGTCCCCCAGCACCCCACTGCTTCTTGGACAGCACTTGGGATTTTGGACATGGAAACACAAGCTGTTGGGGGGGGGGTGATGGCCCTTATTCGGGGTTGATTTTGAGAAACCAAAAGGTTCAGCTATTTTGTTCTGAACATATGAATACCAATAAGACTCCAAGCCTGAAAGCACGGATCAGGGAAACCAACACTTGCTCAGTGACCGGGTTCCCTATGTTCCGTGGGATGCATCGATGCGCGCAGCGTGTGGATTTTGCTCAGTATCTCGGAATCCCGTAGGGACCCGCCAACAACCTGGGACTCAAATATATGAAACCAACACAGCTTTAGTGAAGAACACACACATACACGATGTCATCAAACGTTGACTAAGAACAGCATACGGCTCGGAATCAAAACCTGGGACTAAAATGCATGTAACCAAATCCAATCAAAAAGTAAGGGCTAAAATCCGAACCTATGTGGCGTCCACCGAAAAAGTACATCTACCTTGTGCTTCATTCTGGCTCAAGTAGAGGGTTCAAAGGCTAACGAAATCAACTCATTTGGGTGTGTGCGCGTCTGTTCTGTGTGAAGCTAGAGAACCCTCAAAAGAAGTGGCTCCCTTTTTTTTCTCGGAACCAAAAGAGGCAACCAAAATGGCCCCTAGCGTTGAAGAGTATTGTGGGTCTTCCAAGGACCCTGCAAAAATTGATTGACGGCTCAGCCCCAGACCACTCACAAGACTGATTGGATATTCCCCAATGTAGACTTATTTTACAATTTCCTGGACGTTCGTGTGATTTAGCCGGGCCTGAACCAGACCCCCTACAAATCAAACCCATGAATAAGTATGAATAAATCTATGTGTTTGTATAGTGTAGTACTACTCTGTCTTCTAAAACAAAATACACACAAGCAAAAGCAAGATGTCCTGATCCTGACATCCCAGCAATCAGCCATACCATTCCTGCAGGACACAATGGATCAATGAAGATCAATCGAGCATTGAGTTTCTTGCAAGCCAACATGTCACGTGCTTTCTTCACACAGCAGAACAGCCTTTGGGACATCCAGAATCCAGTGTTGAAAGGAATTTCGCCGACTGTGTTTTCTGCCGGCACAAAGCACGATACTCCGCGGATGGCCCTCTGAGACGGGTGTAATGCTCCGAGAGGCACTCCCTGGTCTAGTGGAGTTTATCGTATGGTGTGCAAAGCGTGTAGAACATCCACCCTACCTTGAGGGGGATCCAACATGCCTGTAGTGCATCTGTCCCGTCTTTCCCCCAAAAGGGAAATGGAACCACAACTCGAGTTCCGAGGTCCCCTCCCACAGATCCACTTTCAAGGGACTGGGGATCGAGCCATCCTGTGTTCCGAACCCAATGGGTTTCTGACTCGAGTGGTTCACCTGAGCAAGGGACACATGTGCTTTGACATTGCTTGCTTTTCAAAGACATCCCGTTCAGTGGTAGGTGAAACGGTAACCACCATTTCCAGTTTCTCACTTTGATACCCCCCAGAAGCAGAATCAAAAGAATGACCCCACCAGAATGTGCTTTGACTTTCTTTGCTTTTCAAGGAAACCCCTTCAAAATCGGTCCCCAATGCGATCGCTTCGCTCCGGACGAGGCTGCTGCAAGGTTGGCTCCACCACCTCCGGCCAGGACTGCAACTCCAGGCGGTACCTCAGCTGAAGCTGCGGAACATCCGAGCTCTGCGCGAAGAAGCGAACGAGGAAACACTTACTTTGGCCCTCAGGGGACAAAGGTTCCAACAACAAAAAAACAAACAACGATGACTTCAGCCCTCAGTTGGGGACAGAATTCTTATCGCATCTTTTCTTCTGCTCAGGCCTGATCTCCTTTGGCTATAGCAAACATGTGCTGGCCAAGCCTCAGCTCACATTCAAGTCACATGAGCCATGGTCAAAATTACATACTTGCCTTTCCAACCCTTGCTTGGTATGGTAGCAAAATATGCCATCTGTTGCAGCCCCCTGCTAAGAATGAACAGAACCGAAAGACCTAAAAGCCTACAAACATGCCAACAATGAAGTATGGCTTCCCGTAAGAAGTGAGTTTCGTGGCTTTAGAGGTTCTGCGAGGCCCATGTTCCTCTGGATCATCTGCACATGTGTCGACCGAACCTCATGTGGTGCGTTGACAAAGTTTGGAAGTGCGTGATGCATGGCGCCAAAGGCATCATGGACAAAAAAGGTTCGAGACATCTTGAAGCAAACCAAACTCCACACGAACCACGGTCAAAATAGGGCATATGAGGGCCTGAATAGTTGGAATGAGGCTGTTGGGTAGTTCAAAACCAACATATGTCATGATCATAAGAGGGCAGGTATCTCGCAACTTATAATATCCACGGGATCCTTTGGACAATAGTGTTCTGTGCCCTTGATATATCCACGAGGTATTTGGGCATCTTTTGGGGAGGACGCCTATAGGACGCTTATCTCAGCAATCTTGAGTTCAACTTCCGATGTCAATCAGTTTTCCGCTGATGTTGCCTCACTTCCTAAGTGGATTGGCCAAAAAGTCATAACTTGCTGTTTACCACTAAAATGGTCTTCCCACAAGGTGACTGCAGTGAGATGCCAAACCTCAGAGTCTCTATCCTTGGCACTGCGCCGGTGTCCGTCTGTCTCTGTCTCTGTTGCTACGTCCGTCTCTGAGTCTAATCTGGATAGCGAACCAATTGTAACTTAAACTAACCAATCTAGTCTACTTCAATCTGTGTACACATATATGTGTATATATAGCTAGCAATATATTGAAGGGCTGTGTATGTATTTATTTGGGTATTCTGTTGCTTACGCACCTTACGCCCAAGACGAGGCACATGATGAAATTATTTCATTCCTTCTCCTTGTCATGCAATCTTAAGATACGTAATACTACTGCTTGTGTGCCGGATAGTTCACTTTAAAAAGCAGTTTGGAGAGCCGCATTTGTGGATTTCACCTTTCCCCCTTGATACTAGCCTTCAGAAAGTGCCCTGCGGTCCACAAAAGGCGCATCCAATCCGTGTCTAACATGAACAGTTGTTCGATGTTGGGTCACTCCGTTAAGCGAACTTTGAACAAGTCTGTTCAAACCCCGCATCGATCCCCATCATGGCACCCAGCAAACAAACAAACAAACGAACAAACAAACAAACAAACAAACAAACAAAGAAACACAGAAACAAACCAAACAAAACCCACCCACTCAAAAAAAAGGTAAGATAATAATCAAAAGCGCCAGCTCGGCCGCTCCGCCGCTTTGAATTCCTTGGCTTCCTTCGGCGCATCATCTATCGGTGCTTGGGTGCCCGGCGTTCCCAGCGCCCAGTCCTGAGAGGCGACCCGATGACAGACCTTCCCCCAAGTGACACATCGTGTCCGATCTGTTTATATGTGTTCCACTAGTGAACACATCGCTAAATCAGGTTTGTGTGGTCCAAAACCAAACTCAACAACTGGTTTGGTTATATGTTGAACCCTCTAGCTTAGCAACAGGCTTAGGTCAACCTACTGTAACATGCTTTAAAAGAACATGCGTAACTCCAGTCATCATTTGAGAAAAAAACGATCGGAACATTTTGACAGAGATCACCAGGTAAACCCTGGCTGTGTAATGCTCGCTTAATAAGCCGTGGTGGAATCAAAGCCTTACCTTTTGCCGTCGCACAGTGTACCATTGCAAAAAAAGGCTGCTGATCTGCTAGCTTAGAACCAAGATAGGCAACCCACATGTTCTCACCAGCCAGTGTGACCCGTGCCAGCCCTGCTGCCGCATTATGAACTGAAGAATGCATGCTGCTCACATTATCACTTCTGGGCGCCACCTTGACTCACTTGGGAAGCTACCAAGGTGAGTTGTGGGGGCGGGGGGGTGACTATGTTGAAAGAGGTATAAATACATATATGTATACATATATACATACACATATTAATGTATATATATATGTATACAGAAACTTACTTATACATGTATGCATGGTACCCCGCATATTCTGGTTGGGGCGCGCCTATGCCGTGAAGCAAGTCTCAGGCCAGTCCTTGGCGGAGACCAAGCCCTTGTGCTGGAAGAGCGACCAAATGGTATTCAACTCCTGGCATGAAGAGCGCGTCTTAAAACTAGGTCCTCCAGTAGAGAGGTTAGAATAAGGGTACCCTTTTTTTCTGTAGTCTATTTTAGGGGAACCCTCCCCACAAAAAGGGTAAAAGGGCACTACTGGAAGACCTAGAAAATGGGGGGCCCCAAATAGGGTACTTGGATTTCGTTGCCAAGTTTGTGAGTGGTTAGCCAAGAAGACTTGGGGTTTTTCAACCCCCAACAGGATTAAGCCATATCAGTGGGCTGTGACTTACCAACAACTTTCGAACTTGGCCGGCCGAACACCCAAGTACCCGTTTAAGGGTCGACTTAATGGAAGCCAGAAGGAGAATCACAACGTTTGAGATGTTCCCCTATTTTGAGACACATAAACAACCCAAGGCTTCAGGTGCATGGGTGCGAGAAGGACCGGGACCGAACCAAAGGGAGGAAAGGTGTGCGAACCACAACAGATCTCACCAAAGTCGCTGGATGTCCCGTCACAAGTTGCAGTTTACTGGTGGTGTCCGTTGAAATGATCGATCCACGTTTGAAGACCAAAGCCTGCGTGAGTCAAGGATACAAATCACCCAGCGATGCGCAGGCATAATCTCATCTTTCGAGGTAAAGCACGAAATCAATCAACACCAGCAGGTCTAGGAAGACGTCCAACAAGGAGGGGTCAAAAGGAAGGCAACATCTGCCCGTATTTGACTGATCCAAACTTGCCCCCAGAAGCACCAGTGACATCCTTCTCAGAACATGAAGCTAACAGCTTCGACAATTTTGAAACACAATGCCCTCGGCAAAGAACTGGGTAAGCCCCCGTTTTCATACATCCTTTGCACGGAACATGTACTTCTTGGTATAACAAGAGTTCATCTAGTAGGGCCTAGTACCGCGCCGTCACATTCCACAGATTCAGATCTCAGACCTGACAACCTTTAGGCTCACTTACTCACTAACCACCTTACAGCCCTATATTATAAAGCCGACAAGGGGGTAGGGTCTTTCGATTGCAGGGACCAGCCTATGGTCCGTGGGTCCCCACCTCCAGACTGACTCCTCTCACCACCGGGCGCGCGGTGTCCTGACGGTCAAAGGCCCCACGGTGGGCGTCTCGTTCCTTTAGGGGACCCCAACTGAGTGGGTTTCCCTTTTGGCTTCCCTTTTCTTAAGAAACCACCAAAAAAAGGTCACCTCAAAAGAAAAGACAAACCCATACGGGTGGGCCCAATGTTCGGCCCGACAGAAGCATCTCCCTCAAAGCAGGGGCTGAGTTGGAATAAGCAACCTGTCTTCGGTATAATCCCGAACAATAAACCGCTGGTGGATTAACAGACAGGGGCGGGTCGACCTTTAGTGGGGATCGATTCATCACTTTTGGAGGGAACGGGCACGGGTTTATTAATCCGAGCCTGTAGAATCCACACACGGTTCGAAATGGAGCTAACATGTGCTATACTAACTTTCTGAGTGGGGAACTCATGAAGTGAGTTAAAACAAAAACCAAAGTAGGAGCGACAAAACAGCTCAATCAACATTCGCAACCAAAATAACAGTAAAGTGATGCAGCGTGTGGCCATACCATCGTTGACTAAGAAACGCTCTAAGTCGGGTAAGCGTGTCATTAGGTGCCAAAGCCACGTTTGATCCATGACTCTGCCACAATAATTCCCCAAACCCAAACTGTGTTTGTCTCAAATAGGGGAACCCTCTAAATGGGCTGCGTTCCTTGAATTCCCCCTTAAGCCAATCCTCAAATGGGTATATACCCTGCAAAACCGAGACAAGCCCAAATCAATACACACCCTTATAACAGGAACCTGCATGAAGATCGCAAACCAAGTCCCTTTCGCCATAACTTTCCCATCAACCAACGGGTTTCCACGGGAGGCTTTAATCGGGAACCCCCTGGATGTTGACCCCGGATGAACAAACCCGACCTGTTACTAGTTTTTTTTTCCCGGAAGCATTGCGAAGGGTTCTTCTTCTAAAAGCGGCTGCCAACTTCACCTGCCAACTTCTCATGCCAACTTGTCGAGAGTTACTTCACCTGCCAACTTCTCATGCCAACTTGTCGAGAGTTACTTCACCTGCCTACTTCTCATGTCAACTTTTTGAGAGTTACTTCACCTGCCAACTTCTCATGCCAACTTGTCGAGAGTTACTTCACCTGCCTACTTCTCATGTCAACTTTTCGGCTGTTATCTCATTCTACTAAAAGCACAAGCTAATTTGTCGGGTGTTACTTCACTATCCTAAAAACACAAGCTAACTTTTCTGTTCTACCTAAAGCACAAGCTAATTTGTCGGGTGTTACTTCACTATCCTAAAAACACAAGCTAACTTTTCTGTTCTACCTTCACTTCTCGACTCTTAATTCTTCTTCTTTTTATGGCGGGGGTAGGCCCGACGGGAGCTTACGAAACGCACCCCTCTGCGGAGATCGTGCGTGTCGAAGCGCTCTCGCTGTGGCGCCGTGCGAATTTGTCTTGAGCCGGCGAACCCTCTGCGGAGATCGTGCGTGTCGAAGCGCTCTCGCTGTGGCGCCGTGCGAATTTGTCTTGACCTTGGCGAACCCTCTGCGGAGATCGTGCGTGTCGAAGCGCTCTCGCTGTGGCGCCGTGCGAATTTGTCTTGACCTTGGCGAACCCTCTGCGGAGATCGTGCGTGTCGAAGCGCTCTCGCTGTGGCGCCGTGCGAATTTGTCTTGAGCCGGCGAACCCTCTGCGGAGATCGTGCGTGTCGAAGCGCTCTCGCTGTGGCGCCGTGCGAATTTGTCTTGACCTTGGCGAACCCTCTGCGGAGATCGTGCGTGTCGAAGCGCTCTCGCTGTGGCGCCGTGCGAATTTGTCTTGACCTTGGCGAACCCTCTGCGGAGATCGTGCGTGTCGAAGCGCTCTCGCTGTGGCGCCGTGCGAATTTGTCTTGACCTTGGCGAACCCTCTGCGGAGATCGTGCGTGTCGAAGCGCTCTCGCTGTGGCGCCGTGCGAATTTGTCTTGACCTTGGCGAACCCTCTGCGGAGATCGTGCGTGTCGAAGCGCTCTCGCTGTGGCGCCGTGCGAATTTGTCTTGACCTTGGCGAACCCTCTGCGGAGATCCTGCGTGTCGAAGCGCTCTCGCTGTGGCGCCGTGCGAATTTGTCTTGAGCCCGATGAACCCTCTGCGGGGATCGTGCGTGTCGGATCGCTCTCGCTGTGGCGCCGTGCGCATCTGTCTTGAGCCCGATGAACCCTCTGCGGAGATCGTGCGTGTCGAAGCGCTCTCGCTGTGGCGCCGTGCGATTTTCTTGCTCGCGAAACGGCTTTTGGAAGTTGTCTCGTGGTGTGCGCGCCTGCTTTCGCAATCCCGCGGTCCCGGGTTCGATTCCCCCCTGGTCCGCGGCAGCTCCGGCTTGAAAATCGCAGCTTTTAAGTACAAACGTAGTACGCGGAGCGTGCTCCTGCAGCTCCGGCTGGAAAATCGCAACTTTTAAGTACAGACGTAGTACGCGGAGGCTGCTGCAGCTCCGGCTGGAAAATCGCACTTTTTAAGTACAGACGTAGTACGCGGAGCGTGCTCCCGCAGCTCCGGCTGGAAAATCGCAACTTTTAGATACAAATGGCTGGAAAATCGCAACTGTAAATTGCAAATGTAGCACGCGGAGCGCCTCCGCCGCTCCAGCTTTTTGAGGGTTAATTACTTCACCTGCCAGTTTCTCATGCCGAAACTTCGAGAATTACTTCACCTGCCAGCTTCTCATGCCACCTTTTCGAGAGTTACTTCACCTGCCAACTTCTCGTGCCAACTTTTCGAGGAGTTACTTCACCTGCGAGCTTATCATGCCAACTTTTCGAGAGTTACTACACCTGCGAGCTTCTCATGCCAACTTTTCGAGAATTACTTTACCTGCCAACTTCTCATGCCAACTTTTCGAGAAATACTTTACCTGCCAACCTCTCGTGGCAACTTCACCTGCCAACTTTTCGAGAATTACTTCACCTGCCAACTTCTCATGCCAACTTTTCGAGAAATACTTTATCTGCCAACCTCTCGTGGCAACTTTTCGCAAAATTACTTCACCTGCCAGCTTCTCATGCCAACTTTTCGAGAGGTACTTCACCTGCCAACATCGCCTGCCAACTTTTCGAGAGTTACTTCGCCTGCCAACTTCTCGCGCCAACTTTTCGAGAATTACTTCGCCTGCCAACTTCTCATGCTAACTTTTCGAAAGTTACTTCACCTGCCGGCTTCTCACGCCAACTTTTCGAGAGTTACTTCACGCGCCATCTTCTCGTGCCAACTTTTCGAGAATTACTTCACCTGCCAGCTTCTCACGCCAACTTTTCGAGAGTTACTTCACCTGCCAACTTCTCATGCCAACTCTTTGAGAGTTATTTCACCTGCCAACTTCTCATGCCAACTTTTCTCTTGAGTTACTTCGCCTGCCAACTTCTCATGTCAACTTTGCGAGAATTACTTCACCCGCCAACTTTGCCAGCCAACTATTCGAGAGTTACTTAACCTGCCAGCTTCTCATGCCAACTTTTTGAGAATTGCTTCGCCTGCCAACTCCTCATGCTAACTTTGCGAGAGTTACCTCACCTGCATCAACTTGCCTCTATGCTTCCGGGCCACTCGTCGTCTAGTTTGTTTTTTGTTTTTTTTTCCGACGGTGATGAATGGATCCCCACTAAAAGGGGAGACCCGCCCCATGAGAAGGGCCCCTTTCGCAACTGCTCGCCTCCTGGCTTTCGATGCCGGGAAGAGGCAGCAGCCGCTGCCTCTTCAAGACCCAAACGAGACCCCACACGGCTGACCTGTTGATTGTTCAACGGAAACATGGGGCGAGGGGGGGCAACACAACTGAAAGGCCACATGTTATCATAGTATACAGTATGCATATATATATATATATGTATATGTATATATATATACATACATATGTATGTACTGGTTGAGGGTACCCTTTTCAGGAGGGTTTTTCAGGGAGACTGGCCTTTTCTTTCTTTCTTTTTCGGGGGGGCCCTTAATGCAGCCTTCAGTTTGGCAATACATTGTTCAAAGGTTACCGAGTTGGTCCGAAGCCCCCCCGCTCACACACAGGGCTGGTCCTTGAATGTTTTACTTTCGCAAGCGATCTATACTTGTTGGGGGGGCTGTTTCAAAATTGGATGGTTGTTCTTTGTTCTCCTTGAAAACCACACAAAAAAGGGCACCGAGCCTCAAATAAGCACCCCCCCCATACTGATTGTTCGGTTGCAAATGGGTTCAACTGTCATCCAAGCCTGAGAAAACTAGTTCTCAACGCGAGCTTTGCGACACAAGTGGTTGGCTTCCTGTTACCCCGTAAAAAAAAAAAAAAGGTTACCGTCCAACGAAGCCATGGCGATGTTGGGGCCGAAATAATACGGTTTCCTATAGTTCAATCAACCATTAATCCAACCAAAGGTTCATACCAGGGCTTGCAATTGGTATACATGTAGAGCTTTCTCATGCAACATATCTATGCCATTATGATTTTCTTTTGGGGACATCGCACATTGGATTTTTAGCACCTGCTTGGCCCCTGCCCTCTTGCCAGCTAAGCAACAGACTTAAATTGCTGCTTTCTCAGGAGATGGAAGCATTGGGGCCCAGCCTCCCTGTTTCTTTGTAAAATATTTGTGGTGCCCCCATGTCCAGGACCAACCATATTGTGAGTCTGTGACTCAGCTGTTTCTGCGCACAAGTGTGATTTTTGGCTTCCACCGAAACTAAAAAGGGCGGGTCCAAAAAACGAGCCATATTTCAGCTTTGAGGACTCGTGAGGCCTGGGGCAAGTGCCTGCTAACATGCAACCGGTCCCTCGGGGAAAACACGCACCTTCCGCAGGTTGCATGTGGATGCTCTAAGATGGGTTCCACTACCCCCAAACCACTACCCCCGCCAGGCTTTAATGGGATATATAAAACCACTCTTTTAGCCAAAGTAGAATGGGTATACATGACCACGGGTCAAAATCCCGTACCCCCAGTGAACATCCCAATCCCCACTAAAATAGACCAAAATGGGTGGTGACTTCACCCACCCCAAAATGGGATCCCAAAACGGTTTTGACAACAGCCATGTCTCACTTTCGCCCGGGAGCTTCTGTTTGGGAGCATCTATTGAGGCGCCTGAGGCCCTGAGCGAACTTCTCCAGGCTCAGGCGCCCACACCTCACGAAACCGGTCGAGGTGAGTCATAGCCAAAACGATTCTTGGTATTTTCAGGGGAATCGAATCAGAAAGGGTTCCTTAGGTGCTGCCAAATGAGTCAGAATCAAAACCCGGTATTAAAATGGTGAACCCAGAACCATAGGAATTGAAAAGGCGGATATCCGCAGCTATTTATGGCTGGGATTGTCCCTAACCTTCACCTACCCGGGTTCTGATTGAGGCTCAGGTGGCAACATGGGAAGTGCGGTCATGGCTTTTTTTCGAGGGAACCGCGCCTTTTTTGTGGCGCCAGAAGGACAACCGAAGACATTTTGGGATCCAAATCCGAAAAGGGACAAACCCCTAAGAGCTGAGAAACAAAGGGCTATAGACACTAAAAGACCCTGAATGGGGCCAGAGAGGTGATGACTCCAGATTCATCAACCCGACAAGTCTGGCTTCCCCGGAAAAGTGACGGATTCCCTCTGTGGAACGGAGATAAAACGCAACTGAATCCCTATGGTCCCTTGCTACTTTCTCAGGTAGCAAATTACCTTTTTTGCACCCCTCAGAAGCCATTCTCAAAGGGCAGGACTTGGACGGGAACCCAACACGGGCCTAAGCTTTTTGAGGGACCTAAGATATGGCGACGTTTATGTTTGTTGAGGCAGCTCCAACTTGACGCTCCCAAAAACGGAATGCTTGATTGGGTTCTTCCCACAGTTCCCAAATTGATGTACCTAGGCGCAAAATCAACTTCCAAGCCTCTTGGGCTCTCCTCACCTGATCACTTTGGTGGATAGCAAATCGGGACATTCCACAAGGCCAAGGGACATGTCATGTATCAAAACAACGTGCTTAGGGGCAGCAAACAGAACTTGTTGGAGCCAAAAGCTCTCAAACCATTTCGGCTCTCTTTCCTTTTCTCTCTCTCTCTCTCTCTCGCTCTCTCACTCCAAGGACTTCCCCCCAGCTGCCTCCCGGCGTGACAAACAGACCCTGTCAAGGATTCGTTGAAACCTGGCAGCTATGATCTCTGTCATGGTTTTAGCAGAACGGGTCCCAAGACCAGCTATTGAGGTCTTGGGGGCAAAGGGACACTCTCGTGTCTGCCCAAGCCACTTTCTGTTGGTCTCTTGGGGTGAACCAAAGCCCTATCTTCTTTAAGCTTTGGAGATAGCATCCAGCTGACCCCGTCGCCTAGCGGGCTCAGTCTCGTCGGGGGTCCGCGAGAGGGGAAGCTTGGCATGTGGTTGACACCGTCTGACTGCTGTGAACTTTTCCCACTAAAACGGCCAGCCGAAACGTATAAAGTCCGGAAACTCACGGAGTGAGTGCATCTGCGAGGGGCGGCAATGGGGTATGCAAATCAGCCATAAAAGGTCCAGGCGGCTTCATGTTTCCTAGGATGTCAGCTCGGTCTTTAATCCCTACAAGACTGGTTTGAACGGAAACCACCTGCAAACCTATGCCATTGCAGGGGGGGGGGGGGCGCGGGTTCTGTCAGAGTCATTTTGGGACCAAGATTGGCGCAAAAGCGCGACTATTGCCCGAAAGAAGGCCCCAAACATGGGTGGGGCTTCGAGGGACCTGGGACCCACACCTGTCAGCGCCGCAGTCCTGGAAAAAGGTCTCCCAGCCTGGCCGAGGGACTGAAATAGCGCCGATGGCGATAGATAGGCGTGTACCTAAATACAAACATACGTCTGCAAATACCTGCACAATATATATATATATATATGTGAACGTAATGGACATAGGTGTATGTCCATTTATGTATATATGTCTATGTGCAAATATGCATGTGTGTATATACATATATATATATATATGTTATATACATTGTGTCCTTTGATCAGCGGCAAAATGTATTATTATTTTCTAACTCCACCCCAGGCACCCTGCACAGAGGCCAGCCTGTACCGTTTGACAGCCGTACCAAGCACAGTCGTCCCAATTCATCAGACATCCAACGGGGTGTGTCTTTTTGGCGGGTACCCTTTTTTGGTTGTCTTAAAGGTAAACCAAGAGGAAAACCACCGTTTTGGGGGCACCCTGAAAAATGACACGCCAACGGGCCCAACACCTGAAGGAAACAACTCCCGTGAATTGCTCGCTTTACCCTTCGCTGCTTGCTCAATCAATGAATGGTCCACAGTGATCCTTAAACAAAAATTGACCCCCTGTGGAAGGTGCCATTACACACATCGGGTGCTGAATAGTGGCTCTGAAAAAACAAGGCACAATTGCCTCTCGACTTTTGGCTTCCTGTTGGAAAACCAGCACATGGACCATTCGCGCCAAACCATCTGAAGATACCCAATCGTAGCACGTCCAACAGTACATTTCCATGGGTTGCTGACACCTGCCGAAAGGAATGGTGGGAGTCGGATAGTTTCTTTCTGTTGACCAAGGATATCAATACTTTCTTTGCGTGCTGGAAAGGGTTCCCCAACAACTGCAAATCAAAGCTGCTCAAATCAGCAGACAAGCACCACCTCGCCAGGATTTCAGGTTTGCACAGTCCCCTGCAAGCCTTCAACTTTTCGGGGTTTGATTCTGCCTCGTTTGGTAAGCCTCCAAATCAGCTTCTTTGAATTCCAAACAAAGCAACTCCAAACTTGGTTTCCAGGTTCCTCCAGATGTCCTAACATCCAAAACATGGAGACACTGCCCTTTGACACCACGGCCTTATTTTCCATGTCGCCCAAGGACATCCCCAACAGCATCGGGCCCATTTAGCCAAGCCCCCCCCCGACCGACGCACTAGCTGGTACGGCCAAAGGATTGAACCTTGCTGGGATTTCTGGGTGCTCATTCTCATGGAGGTTTTGTGACCGACCATGTTGGAAGGTCTTGCCCAGAGACCATGATACTCTAGATGATGAAGAAAACAACAAGAATAATGAAGTTGATCACTAAGCAGTGTTGACGCAGGATTAATAATTCCGTCCCATTATTGGGGGGGGGGTGTTCCCTCCAAAAGTGATGAATCCCCACTAAAAGGGGACAACCCTATTAATCAACCAGGCGTTTATTTATCTGGGGTTAAGATTAAGAGGCCCCCCACCCCACTTGCGTTCTCCAAGCGCCCGCGCCGTTGCGGCAGTGCAAGCCTCGCCTCCAATTTCCAATTTCAAAGCGTCACCCGCATGCACCGGGCGGGGCTTGTGGAGAAGGATTCAAGGGCCCCCCCAAGAAAACGGATTGGGGAGTCAGAGATAAAAAGACCCAAACACGGTTAACCTAGAGATATCTAGGCGCGGCATTGATAAACGGGGTCCCTCTGAACCTTGCCAAAACAAGTCCTAAGCATGGAACCCGTTTATGGATCCTTCGTTTAGGGCCCCCTATTCAACCTGAGCGCAGCAAAGGCGGATAGGAAAAGCAAACAACATTTCTTTCCCACCTTCGAGTCACTCGCCTTCCGCACCCCCCCTCCCTCGCAAAAAAAAAACACAAAAAACAAGGGGAGGCGGCTCGGTTTTGGCCCGGCTTGGCTTGAAGTCTGCCGAAACAGCCTGCGAACTCCAGCTCAAAGCCGGCTCGTTCGTGCAGGGGTTTGGAAACACCGCCCCGTCGGGCTCGCATACAAGAAACGACGACCACGTGTGGGCGGGCCAGCTTCTTTCCAAGTTAGGCTGCGAAGAACTGTCCACTCATGGGCTTAACAAGGGCGGTCTGGGAGCGACATATAAATTATCCATCACGGTGTGGCTTCCTTTAAGAGAAATCCAATATTTCGCGTTTAAGCCCTATCCAGGGTTTGCGGAGTTTGTCTTAAGCAAACTGTTCCTTGCATTCGTCTAGCTTGAAACCGAACTTCAGTGCGGTCTCAGATTCCACTAAACATCTCTAGAAATGATCATGCCAAAGGGTTGATGTTGGCTGCAGTTGGGCAGGTGCAATATCCACTTCACCTCGAAGTCGAATGTAAAAAGGTGCAACCAAATAGCAGACATATATATATATGTATATATAGATATAGTATATTCACCGGTACTATGCTGTCTCAAAGGCTCTCTCGTGCCCTAGCCCTTTGAATTATTTGAACATATTTCCACCATGTAGTCATTACCTTCCACCGACACTTTCACGCTTGCACTTGAAATGGTGAACATGAGCTCGGCCCCACAAGTACTGTGACCGCGATGTTCACTTTAATGAACGCAGCTGTACCAAGTAGTTAACCACAAAGCTACCTTTGGGTGGCCTGGGTGCAATGGACAGCCTCTTCACAAGGTTCTCGAAACACAATTCCGGATTACCCCATATGAGCTAAGGCACTTATTTCCTACATGGTTGAATGGTGTTCCCACCTCGTTCTCCAACCCTGCACCTTGGCCTCGCTTTGCACCTGACTCAGCATCTTACCAAACAAATGCTTCCACCCGGCCCCTATGGAAGTTTTCGGCAGACGCTCGTTGCCCAACCTAAAACATATCACCCACTAGGGAACCCAGCAGCGCCCTTTGAGAACATCCTCTTCCAAGAGCGCCCCGCGAGGTTCCATGGCAACGTTGGAGGATACGAGTACTGACACTTGGCTTCCAAAGTGAATTGTCCAAAATCCAGGGGAGTGTCCCTTTGGGAAGATAGGGGCAATTCCCTGGAAAATTGTGAGAAAACACCCGACCATGGCCATCTATGTTCAACCAAAAAGGGACACCTATACGCACTCTCCCCCATCCCATCGGTGCTGTGGAGTTTAGCGCCGATTGAAACGGGTCTCGTCAGGAAGAAGAGCTCCGTTTTCAGAAGTTCTTCTTGGGGTTGTGGCTTCCCCTTTACTGAAATCAAAGCCCCAAACCAATGCAAACGAACAAGGCTCACCTGATAATTCGTTGATTCATGTTGATTCTAAAAGAGCAATCCGGTGGATGCCCTAAATATTGCAAGCAACCACAAACCGTGGGAATCTACAGGGTTTCCCTTCTTCCCCAGTTGCACTATGTAGGGCATCCACCGTTCCCTCCGACAACAAAAAGGAACACAAAAAGCAACCCACAGGGCTAGTCCGAAGTTGAATTGAATGACAGGAACCTTCCTGCCCTCGGCGGGTATCAACATATGGGAGCCCGAAAATTAGTTCCCCTTAGCCAGCCAGATTGGATTGCCCCGAAACGAAACACAAAAGGTTTTACCCCCCCTCCCCCAAAAGGAAAGAAAACAAAACAAGAAAAGAACACAACACACAAAAGATTTTACCCTCCCTCCCCCCCCCAAAAAAAAAGAAAAGAACAAAGAAAACACACAGACAAACACAAGCCCATGCACCAGTGGGCCCAAAAAAAGGGGAGAACAACCCGGCACCCCGGGGACCCCGGTTTTTCGGGGACCCCGGCCGGCTGAAGTAGCACTGCAGCGCCGTCTCCAAGGTGCGGATCACAAAGAGCTGCTCCTCGCACGAGGCGGCGGCGTGAAAAACCGCCGGCGCGCAACCCGTTGACAAGTTGGAAGGGGAGCAAAAAGTGGTCCAATCTTAGCAGATAAATCACAGTTGTGGGGGATTTCCCACTCAATTGCTGGGATTCAACAGTCCGAATTTTGGATTTCTGGCGGGGTTCAGTGGATTTGGAGTTCAACCACTAAACCACAATAAGCGAAAATGTGAAATGTTTCCCAACAACAACCATGTTACGTCCCTGGATCAAAGCGCGAAACGACAGTAAGGTGGCCTATGTCTCGACAGCGACTGTACAACACTAGTCCAGCACCGGTGACAACCAAAGCTCCACATCTCAGAGTGAGCTGCTTCGAGCCCAACCGAGAGCCAAGATGCTGGTGTCACATCCAACATGCGCAGGACAACATGTCCAGAATACCCGGTACTACGGTACGCAAAAAGAAGCAGGGAGAGGTGGATCGCAGATCAAGAAGAGTCGTTCATTTGCGTTTCTGCATACTGGGAGAAATGAGAACATATGTCTAGTGCTGATAGATTCCCTTTAAAGCCAACCAGGGAACAATATAACATATTCATGACAGCAAATGGAAGGTCAGACGCATACTCCAAATACCTGCTATGTTGTAGGGTATATGTTCAAACGCCTGATTCGATATAGTAAATGTGTCACTGTCCCTTGTCTGGCCAAGGGTTGACATCATACTGTACCCTTGCGAAAGCAGGAATTGGGAGGTTGCTGCTTTCAAGGGATCTGATCCACCCTGTGAGAAAACACATTGAACCTGAAACGTCCCTTTTGGCACACACAGTCCCCGTCAAGGTAAAGAACCCAAAGCCCGGAAGATCCTCGAAACTCAGGTTTTGAATGGGCAGAATTGCAGAGTACATTATTTGTTTGGTCATCTAAGGTGAATTCCATGTCGCATGAAAAAAACAAAAACATGGACATCACCGAAGCCCGGGCAATTTCAGGGGCTCACGGCCTGTCGCGGTCTGCCTTTCGGGAACTAACCTCTATTTGGAAGTTTGGCTGGGGCGGTTTGGACGGGGCCGCCTTCCCCATTCGGTTTCAAAAGAAGCAAGGGGTTAAAAACCACCAATCTAAACCACGAATTGAGGGGTACCTGATTTGCTGCGGGTTGCGGCCACTGCAGCAAACTTGGACTACCCTCACAAGAATCATGGAAGCCGGTTGGGTTTTGGCAGACTTCCTTTTGGAGAAGCCCCAGCACCAAATAGTTCAATCAATTCCTGAGTCAGGTTGGAATGCCTGAAGCACGCGTCTCGTTTGGCTATTGAACCCTCCAACAAATCTGGAAAAAAAAACTCAAACTTGGTTGTCTTCCTACGGCCCCCCAAATTTGAACCGCCTTTGAATTGGTCACTCCAGGGTGTCCAACCTCCAGGGTGTTTTCTCCGGAACCCACACAAAGAGGATTCCTTTTGCGGCAGAGCATAGTATGTGCCCTTTTGGACAAGAATAGCTGGATTTCCCGTCCACCAACCACAAAGAACACCTACTGTGGATGGAAGAAATCCTGCACCACCTAAGAAACCTTGGTTTCTGATGATTCAGCCGTAAATACCAACAAACGTTGTGGTTCCAACCATACTTTCATTTCGCGGTGCAAACATATTTCGTCCATCCACAGTATGGTAAAGAGATTCCATTGCTTTTCTGAAAGCAGGCATATGCGTCATATGCCCTTCAGCTTAAGTGGGGAGTGTGGGATGTTACAGGATTCACCCCCCTCCAATTCCCAATCCCCCCCCTCTACTTCCAACCAAAATCGGACCCTAGCAACACGGCCCGAAGAACCGACATATTCAAAGGACTCAGCTAGGTCCAGTAGAGAGGGCAGAATGGAGCTACCCTTTTTTTCTGTCCGTGTTAGTAGGGGAACGCTCCACCACAAACGAAACCGTTAGAAAGGGCCTCCCAACCAAAAAGAAACGGCGAGAAAGGGCACCTAGCTGGGGGACTCTCCACTAGACCACACTAGGCAAAATGAAAAATGTGTCCCAACAAAAACCATGAATAGGACCCTAGCAACACCGCCGGAGAAAGCGACATATGGCTGTGGGTCAAAACTCTGCTCCCAAATGGGTTGCCCTGGTAAATGGAAACTTGGACTACAACCTGCGGTCCAATTCCCGGTCTAATTTGGACCCACACCCAAAGGAAACCATGGTGGACACCGCGACATTTGTTGGTATTTACCTTGAATCGAATCGTTCCAGGGTTTCTGAATGGTGCGAAATGGATCTCGTCCATATCCAACGACCCACTTGTCCTTCGTCTTTTTTGAACCTTCGCAAGTTTGCTGGGCACCTGCCGGTTTGCACGGCAGGGGGAAAGCTGTTGAGCGCATTCACCGAACACCTCCAGGACGAGGCCGCTCCTCCTCGCGCAGCTGCGCGGCCAGCACCTGCTTGGGCGCCTGCTCCTCGGGCCTCAGATCCGGGAGAGGTGGCCAAGCAGCCCTCCGGTGGGTCTCGGCTTTCCAAAAGAACCCAAAAGCAAAGAACCGCCAAAACGGGGGAAGCCCATAGTTATCGAGTGCGTGCAAATGTGTTTTTTGAGGTGGCGGAATTGAAATGGACTCTCACTAACGCGTACTGAGAAAAAATCGGCCTCTGCTGGAGCAAATCGACACTGTTTGGTTACTTCAAAGGACTCCCACTCAAAACATAATTGACAACATGATGTTCCTTGTTGTTCCATTCGTTTGATTTGCGCATCTTTATTCAGGTTCCGGCCATCCCTGAAACAAAACCAAGGAATATAGCTTTGACGATTGAGGGCTTGCTATAGGAGGTCTTTAAAACGTATTAGCACCCAGCGAGGTTCGACAGCAACAAGCCAGCCAAGCACCAACACTCGCCCCTTTTTCGGAAGGCCTACTGAGTGGTTCGAGAAACAACCCACCTTGCCTTCCCGGATTGTCCACAACGAGGGCCCCGTGATGTTACAAAAGCCCATCAAGCGGCCTCAGTCTCACCGACTGCCTTTGGTCCGTGGAAATCGTTGAGGTCAACGCTCAGCCTGGTGCAGATGACTACAAATGTCCTGCATAGGACAGCCCTGCGGCGTGCCAAGTTCGTAAGAACTGCCTAGAGTCCATGACCCTTTAACAATGGGGTCATTACCCAAAGTAAAGGGGTCATGTACCTTTTTGTTTAAGGGTCATGGAGACTCCAGGTGCTTCGTCCGTGACGGTGCTGTTTCAGAGCGGCTTTGAAGCCAGCCACATCTTCGGCTGTCGGAGCCTTCTCCAAGGATCGCAAGCGGACATTTGGGTATGGCTCAAAAATTAAAGAGCTGGGGCAAAACGCGGGTTTCAGTCTTTGGTTCCATTTACCAAGGTGCCATTTTGGTACCACCTTTTTGAGCCACAGCCATTTCCAGACGGACACTCACCGACATACTCTTGACTCAAATTATCAGGGTGCTCGTGGTTTTTTGATATGGCATTGAGTTTTAATGGACAAGCCTGCCAAATTGTTGCTGGGCATAAATCTCCAAATTATGTCCCCAAAAGGGTCCCCAATTGAAATCCGTTCCCAAATGTCTCTTGTCCGTGCGTCCCCATGTATATGAAGCCAGCGGCTGGTTCCATTTTGGTTTCATGTCACAATCAAAAGCGGGCTCCAAAAGAGACAGGCCCATGCGAGTTTCGGTCAAGATGCCCCATTTGTCAATGGCCCGTTTTGGGAGTGGGGACGAGTCTAACAGTCTCACAGTAAAGATTGGCCATGGCACATGTGCTTCCATTTGTGGTCCTCTTGGCCAAGAAGCCAATTTGGAACACCTAGAAGAACCGGCGATACTTATTCAACAGGCATTTACCATGCGTTTGTCCACCGTAGGTTTCATTTGGGAGGGACAATGGGGGACTCTCTGATGATTGTTTCACTACAACAACCACATCACTGATTTTCCTGGGCTGTCAGATCCCCTGCTGAAAGCTTAACTTGTGGGTTAAATGGAAACAACCACGAAAGCAACAACAAAAACGTTTAAACAACCGGCACCGGAAGGCTGGGAACCACGAGTCCAATGCCCAGCAATTCGAACCTCATGGACAGGGAAAGGCTCAGCGAATGAGTCCCCGGCTTGGCGGGTGCGTGGCGCCGTGCGAAAACCATGAACTCCTGGATGGACACCTCACCTCGGTCCAATGCGGCATTTGGGGCACCTCACTTCACCACTCTTGGGGGGATTCAAACCTTGAAAATTGGTTGGCTCCAGGATTTCTGTGGGCATCAGACTCCACAAATTGCCTTGAGCCCAGTTCCACGGGAATTCCTTTGGCCAACAGGTCACCACTTTCACCTCACGTCGGATCTCAACCAAGTTCCGGGCTAGCTGGTTTAACATACAAGGAATACCGTAGCCTCAATCAAGCTGAGTACCCAAAGGTTGGATGCACAAGTTGGTACTTGGATGTTCAGCTGGCCGAGTTAAGAAAGCTGCAACGGTAGCCTAGGTTACCCACCTACAGAATGTGGGGTTTACCTTCTCACAAAGGGGCTAGGCGATACTTCAAGTGGCCAAACCACTTACTAGCTTGACCGTACACACACAACACAGCAGCAGGCCGCTTCATTGGTCCGACAAAGCAAATTCTCTGTAATTTATCCCTCGCTCAGACAAACTGCACACGCAAGCAAACCTGGGGAGCCCTCACGAGCGAACCCAAAGAGCCCTCGCAAGCGACCCTCCGACCATAGCACCTTTTGCTTGAATGGCGGTTTCACTTGGCGGTTTCACTTGTTCTAAGCGGATTGGGCGAAAGAGTTGGGGGACAGCTCTATTCTTGGCACAATTTAACATCTTCCCAACAAAACACGTGTGCGGCCCAGTATGCACGCAGAACCTAAGTCATGCTGCCCCATCATTCCCTCCAACAAAATCTTGCGAGCTTTGCCTGCCAAAAGCTTTTGGCAGGGCTCCGCAGATTTCTGTTACACTTGGGATGTGGCTGGCAAGCTCCAGCGATGAGAGGGAAGGGACTTGAGCTAGACCCGCCTGAAAAGTGACATCAATGGAAACTGGAAATCAGTAGTGGCTTCAGGAAGCCCCATCATTTGGGTGTGGGTCACCGAATCCTAGAACCCTGGTAAATGGAGACATGGACTAAAACCTGCGGTTTTCTGATGATTTAAGTTTGACCCATACCCATTTCGCCAAAGAACACGGCACATGGCGGGTGCAATGGTTGCCGGCCCCTTGCGGAGGAGAAAACCACCCGAGCTGAGCAGTGGGGTCGCAGCACCCGACTGTTCGTTCTAGCAAAATGCTTGAAACCCAGACTCCGTGATCAGTGGGTGTGGCTCAAAATTAAGGAGCCAGGGTTACGCGGGTTTTAGTCTTTGGTTCCATTTACCAAGGTGCCATGTTGGCACATTTATTTGAGCCTTGGCCAGATCAGCAAACCAAAAGTCCGAAACTTTGTGTTGAGCGCCAAAGAAACAAAGATGGTTGGTGAGTACGGTCAGGCGGCCTGGCAAATCAAACAAATATAGGTCCCCTGTTGGTATCCTTTTGGGAAAAACATCCTAAACCATTGTCTTAAGCCCGATGGAAAAAGGCACATATTTCCAGTAGTAATAGATTCCCTTTAAAACCAATAGGGGAACTCATATTCTTAAGCAAATGAAAGAACAACTGGATGTGCCTGATTCAGGGACCCCCCCCAAAACAAATTGGTGGGTTTTCTTTTAGTTTCCCTTTACAACCTACCAAACAAGGGGTACTAGTACCCTTAAAAAAAAGGGACGCGCCAGGAAGGGGGGCGAACCTGGCGCTCCCCGCCGGATCGATCCGAATCCATAGCCTTCCACAGCCCGCCTCAGTGGCAGCCCATACTGTCGATGGACGAAATCCGTTCGCACCACTGTGAAACCATGGGTAACCATTGTTTGACAGGGGAATCGTCATTCCAAGGTTTCTTGGGTGGTGCAGGGTTTCGTCCATCCACAGTAGCTCAAGCATGTGCTCAATCGAAACCGATCGGTATGAAAACATGGAAGCCAATGAGAAGTACAAAGGCAACAGCACCGAGTTCTGAATGTTGTTCGCGTCCTCCACCTACCCAGGTCTTGATTCAAGACCTTCGGTTGCTGACCCGATTTCGGCCAAAGGCAGCTGCACGATATCCTTTGCCCACTGAGTCCATTTCCTTGCAGCAGGTAACCGACCACTTTGCCTTTTGGCTTAAGGGCCAGGTTCCATTTCAATGGATAGGAGGGTAAGGCTTGATTCAGGGGTAAACTACGATCAGCAGGTCGCCTAGGGAGAATCAGAACCCAGTGAAAGGAACCGGCAAGTGGGCACCTGGACATCAGCGTGCTGTCCTGCTCATAATTTGCATGGCACTGGTAAATTGCTTGAGAGTGTGGTTCAAGCCGATGCCATGTTTCCCATATTTCAGCCGAGACATAAGAACACACCTACTAGTTGATACTATTTGCTTGGCCCCCAGCCCCAGAACAGGCTTCTCTGGGTGACGCACGCAGCTCGCTGTCTGCCACCGACTGACCTTGGAATCTCTGTTGCCATGTTGTCACTTGCTTTCTGTTGACTGGTTCTTGTTTCGCGGGTCACATTCCGAGGGGAATTAGGTGCAAAAAGCCAAGGAAACTCCACTAAGTGTGCAAAAACCAGTGATTTGGTTGAGTCGGTGGCTGATGTGCTGAGGAATGCCATGTAGCTGGTCTCTATGCTGCGCTCCTTTTGGCGAACATAAAGCATCATGTTTCTCATTGCTGGAATTGAAAGGGTTGGATGCTCCGCCGTTGAACGCATTTCGTGTGAAAGTTCTCTATTCCTTAGGTACATACAACAATCTAGACGTCGCCGTGCGGTTCACTTTGGGGAGAACAGCAAACAAATCAAACGCATGAGGTGCTGCTGAACACGCGTGTTTGCTATCAAAACCAACGTGGACAAACATGTGCTTTAGGCAAATGATACCTGACGTGGATGCTTGCAACCATGTGGTTCCACGGACGAAAAGTGTTGCCCCCGAAAAGAAACAATAAATGGGCCGGGCCCTGATTCTTGAGCGTGGTTTGTTCAGCCGAGTCCTCCTGAAACCGCTATTAGGCATCACTTCCTCGCACACTTGGCATCGATTGACGTCGCATCCGCTTGCCCGTGGAACGCGCCCGAGTTTCAGGTAACCCTTCGCAGGTTGTTTGGGTTGGTGGTGGGAATTGAAGCCCAGGTTCTTGTAACCACCCGTAGCCACCAAACGGGCTCCAAGCCACCACTTGATACGCTGAAAGTTCCTAAGGCCTCAAGAGCTCCCAGCACCCCAAGCCATCGCTGAGCTCCTCGCCCAAGTTCAGGCCTGGATAGCCTTTCCGCACCACCTGGACAAACTCTCGACAGCGCGGTCTGGGAATTGCGGGTGAAACTTTTTGCTTGAGGGTGCTCCTTCATCCTTGGGTTTAGAAAGAAACCAAATGAACACACCTTTTTGGGGGTCCCCCTACTTGGACACACACACACACACACAATAATATGACTTGTGTGAGGCACGCAACGCGCGATGCTGCACGAATCTTGCCATGAAGGTGCATGGCGGGGGTCCTTTGTTCGAGGCATGCAACAGGAAAAAAGGGGTTGACGCTTCTATGACAAAAGGGGTTCTGTAACGACTGTGTACTGGAGTGCGTAAGGAGGTATGCAACGAGGTGTTGCACAGAAGAATATGTTTTCTTGTCTATTTCCGCTACCTGTTCCATATTTCCTTCTTCTGAGGGGCAAGCTTTCTGCAGTTGACTCTGCATAGGTATGCCCCGCGATGCTCTGCAAAAGTCTGCTCTGCAAGCATCCATGGGACATCTCTCACAGGTTGGGGGATGCAACGGAAGGGCCAGCAACAGGCCAGGATGGTTTCGTTAATGCAAGGTATGTGACGAAGGTATGCAATGAGGGTATGCAACGAGCCAGTTGTGTCGTCGCATACGGTATGCAACGGGGTATGAAACGAATGTCCGCCGCGGCCCTCACCAAAAATCACTGCCAAACCAGAAAGCACCTAAATGGTGGCTATGGACGAGGTATGTCTCAAGGAGTTCATGAACAAGCGGCAAAAGGAACAAGGGCCTAGATCTACAAACCCAAAGCGAGTCACTATGCGAGCACCATCTTAGCCTTTTTGTAGACGCTCATATTACCGCACTCCCATGGTACCGTTTTTTGGGGATGCTTCAAAGGAAAAGCAAGCAGGAGCCCGAACCACGTTGGGAGTCACCAAAAAAGGGTCCGCGCGATGGATTCCTCTGGAGTTTCCAGTCCCTGGGTGGCGCACTGCTCCTGTTGTATCTTTTCACAACTCTCGAGGGGATCCTCCAACTCCCTGCTAGTCTCACGACATGCAGACATGTGTTCTTGCTCACTAGGTCCTCCAGTAGAGAGGCTAAAACAAGTTGGTACCAACTTTTTCTCAGTCTATTTTAGGGGAACCCTCCCAACCAAAAAAGAAACGGCGAGAAAGGGCAGTCGCTGGGGGACCTGGTTCATCTCTTCAAGGAGATCTCCTTTGAGCTCGAAATCCAACTCCATGGGGCTGGGACGTGCCGCCCGCTGCCCGGCTTGGGGCCCGATGGCTTCCGAGGGGGAACTCAGCACCTGCAGGCTGAACCAGGACATCACCTGAATCTTCCCTATGCGTCATGTAAACATGCGGGTCAGTCAGCAGCCCGTACTTTTGGGCCCTCCTTTTGAAAAAAACGGGGGAATTAATTAACCCACCAGTTTTTTGACTGGACGTCATTTTTCCCGGGTTTTTCCGGAGCGAGCACTCGGCTCCGGCCTTCGCAAACTCCTCGAAGTCTAAGCGTCCAGACCCGTCCTGACGGATCGCATCGAAACGGGGCTCTGGCTCCCGTCTTCGGATGGGCGGAGGTTCCACCACACCCAAAGGGATAGCCAAGTTACGTGGAGGCTCGCTGCCAAGTGAAGTGGTTAGCCACTTGGAGTTTTCAGGATCCTGGAGATGGTGAACCCCACTGAACGGGGGGACTTAGAAGCAGGTTGTAGCCTACAGGTTGCAACAAAAGCTTGCTAACTTGGCCGAACGGTAGGGACCCGGGGGGTTCTCCCCCTGAAGTGGTTCGGTGGTCTCAAAACAAGATATGTTGAGGGCAGCGGTGTTCTGAGCGAACATAATTTCTCAAGCGAAGAGGACATGGGGAATTGGGTGCTGGATTTGTGTGGCAATTTTGGTCAGACCCCACGTCCTCCCCAAACTGCCAATCGACTAGCCTGACCTTAGAGGGTCCTGGTGACTTGTACTTGGGCTTCTTTTGGGACAACCTTCTGAAAAAAAAAGGCCTGGTTCGATCTTGGCCGACTGGCCCAGCCTGGAGGTCACATGCTGACCGGGCTCCGTTGGGTTTCCCAGTTGGGTTGGTTCCCCTTTGGCTTGTGACACTGTCGAAAGGTTGGCCCTCCGTTGGCACGGAGGGCCACCCTCTCCTATTCATGAACCAGGGGTTGATAATTTCTGGGCTCCCATTTCCGCGAATGCTCGTTGGTTTCCCTTGGTGTTTTGGGCAGCATATGAAACACCGACAAAATTACTGGTATTGAACCATTTCCGCTGGGATGATCTTTGAAAATGGGAGTTTTGAGAAAAGCAGTCGATGTAGGGTGCTGGCCAAGCAGCATTCCTTTCGGCAATTGAATACTCCCCGCTCCCCGCTCCCTTCGCAGCACTCTCATTTTGCTGGGGTGCTTCATGGTATTGAAGCAATCGGTCTGAAATGTCTCGTCAGTGACGGGACAAGCGTAGAGAGCCCAGCGAGCGCGGCATATCCGCAGCCAATCTCCAAATGACAATGATATCAACGTCTTCTCCAAACAAGCAGTACGTTTGACTGCATGCCTTGACTGAACATGTTCCCTTTTCAGCAGTCTGATCAAGACCCTAGGTCCTGCCCAGTTTCAGACAAATTACCTCTCCAACCCTGGGTATAGTAGCAACAAACTGTGCTTTATGCAGCCCCCTGCTCAAAAATGAAAAGAACCCAAAGTCCCAAAAACATGCCAAACAGTTTCTGTCAACACAGTTCAGCTGCCAAAAACCAAAGGCACAAGGGCTGGGAAACAAAGTCAGAGGCACCGGAAGTGCGATCCGAGTGAAACGAAACCAATCTATACTTGAATCGTGCTTGCCAGCTTGACATTACGTCCATTTGACGTGCGCCAAGGGTCCAAAGGCGACTCTCATGGCGCAATTCGAGTGAACCCCGAGTTGGGTGAGCTCGCACTGAAACTGACTTTGGAGGCACCGAAATCGCTTGATAGAATCGGAGAAACCGTGAACAACTGCCCAAAAATGCCTCCAAAGTCCACAAAGATTTAAAGCAAGTCTGTGCGCAGCATGAAAATTGGGTGCAGCCCATTCCGCAAGAAACACACGTCATAAGATGCAACGCATGTGGCCGAGGGCGCTTCACTTTGGCCCATGCGTTTCCGAATGCAAAGAGTGACCAAGAAACATATGGGTGTGACTCTTTCAGGGGACCCCCCCTCCAAACAAAAATACATGGATGGAGTGTGTGTGTGTGTGTGAT